GATCCGTATACAGATTGCGGCCGGGACGCCTAGCGTTGCCGCTATCTTCCATTCGCGCTGCCTCCAAGGCTACGCCGTAACGGTTCGAGTCTGCTGTATGCTGCTTGGAAAGCGCCGCGGAAATATGGGCGCGTAGCTCTCCGCTTGAAAGAGGCGAAAGAGGAGCACTCGCGGCTACAGGGTCGACGTGATTGTTCGACCGGGTGCAAGAAATGGCGCGAGGTCGGGACAAAAAACGCGAAAAACAACGGAAATAACACGAGAACGTTCACTCGTAACCAAAGTAATTGGGATACTGCGACCAAGCTCGTGGAAGAATTCATCGAAACAAAATGAGATGCTCGTTATCGATACCAATTATCTTTGAATTATATCAAGAGCTTGAAAAAGATATAAAGAAAGCAAGGCTTGCAAAAGTTTATCAGGTAGTTAATTATTTCGTTGCATTTAAAAACATATTCTGATTCTTAACGAAATCTTTTGAATCCTAAAGGATTTTAAATCCTAGTAGGTTTTGAGGTCCTAATCCTCAAGAGAGGATTCTTCTGAAATCAAGGAGAAAATATTCTAAATATATTCTTAAAGTTGAGAAATTTCGTCTTTCATCTACAAGTCTTATTCTTAATTGCGAAATTTCTCCTATATAAAATTTTTATTGTAAAGCTTTCTGTATAAGACGAGATTATACAATTTCGAAGGATTAATAATTTTTACGAATAAAATGAGCAATATCGACTCGATAATTTTTAAAACATTTAGAACTTCCTATTTTCCTTTTAATATCCAAAACACTTTCTACGAGAATTTAAGAGAGAACGAAACTTTTTGCTCCAACCTAGTACTTGACTGCAAATTCAAGTGTGTTATTTTTACACGAATAAGCGTGTAAGTTTGGTTCTTTTTACACGTTTTTTGCGATTTTAAATTATATTATTCAACGCATTTAAGAAACGTATAAATGTGTTAAATAATATGACTTGAAACGATAAGAAACATGTGAGAAGAGATTCAGTCAAAATAACACACTTGGACTTGCAGTATGTTGACACTACATCGCAAAGCGCTCTTTCCAATTTTTCCTCAAGGAGGAACATTTGTTTTGAATTCACCGAGGAGAATTAGCACCGAAAACTGTCGCGACAAATGTGCAATAGTCGACTCCTCGCTGATGAGACACGTAAACCGTCCAACTGAGGAGCATCGCGGAAGAGTCCTTGTTTTCACGCAGACGTTGGGGATCGCGATTAACGGTCCGCAATTGATAGCTCGCGCTACATTGGCGTTAACGATCGATCGGATACATTTCTTCGCGTCCTCGAACGGGTCGCAGAGAGCAGCGAGACTGGCTGGTACCCAGCGCGGAGCCTGTTGAGTCAGCGGTTCTTGAATTATGTATCTGGATTAGCGTGCGCGCTGCAAATTCAAGTTATTTCGGCTGAGTCTCCTTTCACGTTTCTTAGAGAGTTTGTAAGAGAGTAAATCATGTCATTCGACACGTTTAAACGTATTAAATTATAATTTACACGTCTCTTAAACGTTTCAAGTGATTTAAAGAAATACGTGTGAAAGGAGCTTCAGCCGAATTACACGCTGATGTATTAGGAAAAATCCCTCGGTTATCAGAATAAGGCGCGTTTGCTGTTTGATGGTCGTTAGGGATCGAACAGTCATCGTTGCAAATCATTTCTTATCATTTATCATTTTGAAGAACATACATTACCTGAGATTACATGTGTTCTATTTAGGTCAAGTTAGTTATATCTCCAATACAGAAATGTTTCTCAGAGTAGTAAATTGAAAGTAACAAATCATTTGTTACTTTCCACTACAGAGTCATTTGCTGACCCATCTCGAAAAACTATTTGTTGCGGTTATTTCGTTAAATTAGCAAAACTCTCTTTCTCAGTGTGCGTTTAACATAAGCACACATGGATTTGTAGTGCAACGATTTGCGAGTTCGTGAGTGGGCGCGCTTTTCGTAAAAGGGCGACGCATGCTAACTGGCTTGATTCTTTCGTTCTTGCGTTATTGGTGATCAATCGATGTAGAGAGAACGATGTAGGCGATTTTCAACGCGACGCCGAGTTGCGTAAATCCAGGAGTCGCCAAGTGAATCGACAGTATAGGAGACAAAATAATCGCGAATTATACGCGCATGACGCGCGCGACTGGCGGGAAAATATTTTGTGTATTACATGCCAAGCGAAGTAATTAAATAACAAAGTAACGATCCTTGTAGTAATTTATACTACAAGGATCAGTATAGTCCAGCATTATAAAAGAGACACTATGAAATGAAATATAATTTTAACGTAATTTTTGCTGCAATTCCCTCCGTGGATTACATTTCCTCCGTGCACGGGATTCCATTAGAGCATTCGCGCGTGCGAAGTACATAATTTAATCGTCATGTCGTACTCATCGTCGTGTCCAAACGATCATGTCGTTCGGAAGGCGCCACTTGGCACGAACGCCACGGTGATTTCTCCTTATTTCGACAGACATTCGCCGGAACGGCTTCATGGCGCCATGAGGGAATCAGCGTGCGAAAGGAACAAGAGAAATAACAAATAATAATCGGCGTCTACAGCAATAATCCGCCGCCGCCGCCGACCAAGCAAATCGGGCGATCGTCCTGTCACTTGTCATGACGACGATACGCTCTCCGTGACCGTTCATCAAGTTGTCAACGTCGCCGTGGTCGCGATTAGTGACGAGCCGCGATTCGAAAGCGATATGGAGCAATCTTCTTGATCCGGCGAGGGTACACGCCGAAAATAGCCGGCCGCCGCCGTCCCGACAGCTCCTTCCGCCTAAAGGAGAGACGCATAGACTTGTTTTTGCGCAAGTGTCGATTCGCAACCGCGCTCCCCGCGGCTCTCGTGACGGTGGCCGTGGCTTCGGCTGGGCCCAGAAATCCAGCAAACGTGTTCTCAGGAATGCCGTCGCTCAGGGTGGAGAACATTTGCCGTGCGGTGTCGGCCGCGCCGTGTGTGCTAAAACGTTTTCGCGACGCGTCGGAAGATTTATTTCGCGAATTTGCCAACACGGCGATCGCGCGAGACACCGGACGTTGTCGCTGCATCTCTCCGGAGGGCCCCACGCCGGGCCCTCAGGGCGGATTACATCCACCTGGTTCGTCGGCTAAATTTAGCGACGGGATCTCGTCGCGCCAGTGACTCTCATTCCCGCGACAGTTATTTTAATCCTGCGACGAAAAATGAGTCTTTAAGATCCACCAATATTCAACTCCGAGGCATTTTTTTTTTTCGAACTCTGATCTTTCGCGGCGAATTATTCCCAAAATAAGTCGCCGCTCTGTGCGTTTTAAATTGTTTATCCGTTGTTTGAATTTTGTCAGGAACTCTTATTACTATGGCGTGTAGAAATGGGGAAAATATTGCAGTAACAATTACAAAATTTTTGTGATCTTGGGACATACACAAAATTATGACCGAAATTAATATGTTTATTTAAAAAGTTTGTGTAGGTTTGTACGTTTGACTTTTTATTACAAAATTGTTATAATTGAGTGTTTTTTATATCAGGTAGATCTTCAAATTTCTATAATATAATTTATAGTATAAACTCAATATCGTTCAGCCTTGGAGAAAAAAGTAGAAAAAGAAATATAATTTTACTTTTTATTTTTTATTACAATATTTTATTACAATTTTATTACAATATAAACTCTAGTTGCTACAAGCATTATTAAATTATGTAGACTTTTTATTGATACTCTCTTTTTCTCTTCAAATTATTTAAATAGAGGATTATTTAAGAGAGGAACATAAGCCAGTTGCGAATTTTTCCTCTCAATTCTTTAAATTGATGAACAATAATCATTTGAATTTTAACAAATGTCTATTACGAAATTATAAAGGTAATAATTAACCCTCTATTTGCTACAAGGATTATTTAAAATTACGTTTTTTTTCTTCTTTTTTCAGATTTATTTAAATAGAAAGAGACAAATCAGTCGCGTGAAATTTGCTCTCAATTCGTCAAAATGAGGAAAATGATTCGCGTTACTGCGTCAGTTGATTCATAATTAATATGAATCGTGATCTCTATTAGTACGATGTACCTTCGTCTAATCGCGGCCCGAAACGATGAATGAACCCGGCTTGCGTGGACACACCGTTCAATAGCAATGTATAGCCACGGTGGAAGTTTGCTAATTGCGCAACTCGCTTCCGCGTGGCTCGCGTTGCACGGACGCTGAATAAGTACGTGGACGTACAATCGCGATGATAATTAATCGCGATCGTCATTAATCCCCATCCGCGCGCTCTTCCTCTTTGCGAATAGCGGCGCAAAAGTCTGCCGGAAAATCATACGTTCTAAACGGCAGTCGGTCATCATTGTCCATTCGCGTTTCCCGCTCTTTTGTTCGTATAATTTTCGACTTGCGCCGCGTTACGTATACCGCACAAAATTATGATTATCGTGAGGCATAACCGCGCGGATCATTGTAGCCATTTATCTCGAGGGTATTATATGTGGTCTCATAAATCTCCAATACAGCTTCGGCTATATAAAATTCCGCTGTGTGTAAATCAAATTAATGCTGTACCTCCGTTTCAATAAGCTTCCACAGAACTGGGCTAACATTATTATTTTTGCGATAAACGACCGATAGCAGAACGTAAAAGGATAATAAACCGATATCTATATCTATATCAGAGGAAAATTGACTAAATTACCAAGGTTGCGTGCAGGACTTAGCGGAAAAGCGAGTGAATGAGAACTCCTCTATTATTGCTAAAACGTATTGTTAGATGAAACGTTTTGCCGACGTAATTCCTCCTCCTTCCCGGAATTAGATCAATTACTTTGCATGCTCCTTTCGTTCCCGAGCGACGATTTCAAGCGTGGCTCACATTGTTTCCGATAGATAAACCCATAGTTCGATATGACATAAAGCCATATATGAATTACATGGTTGACTTCTCAACGAGAACAAACCAATGCTAACAGAATTCTCAATTGTTTCTTAGGTACGGCGAGAAGCAACGACGCTCGGACAGTCAAGAGCTGAGCGGCATCCAACTGCTCTCTGCTACGGCTTACCAGCTGAAGAAACCCTACCAGCAACTGTTGATACCTATCACGGTATGGATCGGCATGGAACAGGCTTTCATCGGTGCCGACTTTACGCAGGTGAGTTGTCAAGACGTACAAATCTTTCCTAAGCTTTCCTAGGTTTATTTTGTGATTTTTAACGATAATATCTCTAAAAGAGATCGTTACTGTTGCGCAACTTTATTTTATGGGTTATTAACTAAAATCATCCAACATCATCGCCTGTGTTGTTATAAAGTATCAAGGGCATGAAATCAGAGGGAGGCGATGGGATGGCCTTTATGTAGCTTATATCAGAAATTTTAGAAAAGCTCATCATCAATGTATAGAGCTTTTAAACAGACACATAATAATCTTAGAAAAGTAATTTTAATAATTAATAATGAATAATTACTTCAATAATTACTTTAATAATTAATAATTACTTTAATAATTAATAAGTAATTTTAGAAAAGCTCACCATCAATGTATAGAGCTTTTAAACAGGCACAGTAATCTTATAATTCTGCACGGTCCGGGATTACAAAAATTCTCCAATTTTTCCAATATCTTCTCCATGCGGAGGAAAGTGAGCTTCCTCAGCAACAACGCTTCTTTAACGGAGAAGATCGCAAATTCCGCTGTGCTGTTTTTCAACTGCTAATGCGCGCTAGAGTACAACTGGTTTATCGCGAATAGACAGATTCTTTCGGATCTACGGCACTTTCTAATGTTGGCTGCGAGATCGGCCGCCGTCACACAAATCGGTCACTCCCTTTCGCGCACATTGTGTGCCGCAGTCGCCTGCTAAAACAATGGCATTCCAGTTTTGCAACCTACACGGCCGCCGCGCTCGCTTCGCGTGTGTCGACCTTTCGTTGTGAGTCCGCCGGCCGCTCCGCGTCTTCTCCGCGACGCGGTTGTGATAAGGAAACGGCCGTCCTTGACGATGCGTACCAGGATCCGACATTGACGAAGCGCCATGACGTCAGCTCAATCTGCCTGCGTAATTAACCGAACCCGGGCCGTCATCGCGGTGGAAAGGAGAAGAAAAAAGAAACATCAGAGAAATAATAAGCCGAGGGACGAGAGGAAGGGAAAAAAGCGGAGTTCCGTATTCTCTTGCTCGTTTATAGGCGCTCTTTTCTTATTCCCCCGCCTCGCGCCGTCCGGCCTGCATTTACGGCGTTACAAACCGCGCGAAGATTTATCGACGCCGCTCCACAATAGCGCGAACTAGCCGCGGCATGTAGCGCACGTTAATTATTTGTCGTGACGAACGACGGTCTTCGGTAAAAAAGCTTCAGTCCAGGAAAATATTTCATATCGGTTACGTGTTGATACAAAAGTAGCGGCCTGCTCGGCAACCGGGAGAAGATACTATTCGATTTGAAGCGGGATTCTATGAGACGACTGGATTAGCGATTCAAACGCATCTCGAACAGAGCTCATACAATGAATTCGTGATGTACAGATATTTTGCAGTAAAATACTTACTTCTTTTGCCTTATTGGCCAAACTCAGTGAGATATAAAATGAAGTGGTAAAGTGGTAAATTGAATAATTTTCGGTTGAGAAAATATTGTGTGGCAAGAATTATGTTAAGATTATATTTCCTTTTAATTTGTTTTCCATACAGCTGGACTATACTGAAATTGTAACATAAATTGCTATAGAAATAGTAAATTCAATGATCCAGCTGATATACGATATAAAAAACATTCAAGTTATCGCAGTAATTTTATAGTAAAAAGGCAAAGGTGTACGTAACATTTTCAACCAAATTATTTCGATGATAATTCTGCATGGTCTACGATTGCAGAAATGTTCTAGTGATTTTTACAATATTTTCTTCCCGTAGAAGAAACGATCCTTCTCACGATCGACATCTCCGGATCGAGAATCCGCGGCTAACCTACTCCCGAGTAAACCCGAGGCTACGAAGAGGCCGGTAATGGAAACCTTTCGTCGGTCGTCAAGCTTCATCCAATCAGTCTCTACGTGAATTTTCTCTTTTTGCGTGCCTCAACTGGCGCCAGAGACTACCGATCCGGTTGAATCGCCGTGAGTCGAGTCCGGCGCTCGTCTTCGTCCTACTCGTCGACGATAGTGGGAGTCTGATCGACGATGGTGGGGTCTGATGGACACTTTTCTTTTCCTTGGCGCGGAAGCGACCAGCGAGATCGCAAACGCGAAGCTGACGACGTGGTGCAGATCGTCCGATCCGATCGCCTCGAGATAGCAATCTGCCACTCCGGTTCTAGCTTCCACATGGATTATTGTCGGCTTCCGTTCGACAAATCTCGCGTATTCTCGCGAAGATTTTCATTTCCTTGTACCAGCACGACGTTATGAATTATTTATCGTATCCGACTATTTCCTGCGAAAGTCTCTTTGTATCATTCGGTGCGCGATTCGTTAATAGAAACTTTTACCGATTCGCGTGCAAGATTAACAACTGACTCGCAGACATCCGCTGCATTATGGAAAAAGAAATATCTGAGAAATGAAAAATATTTATTCGCTGACTACACTAATCACACATTTGCTTACACTAATATAAAATATTTTTCAAACAAGAGAATATATATTTTCTTAAAACTTTAGCTTTTCACAAAAACAATTGTTGGTTTTATTTAAATAAAAAAATTTAAGTGAATGTGTTATCACACACCCACCAAATATATTGAGAGACAAAGAAATGGTTGATCCAACTAAAGATTTATTTTTGACGTCAACCACGTTTTTCGATTGTTCTAACACGAAAATAATGCTACTAACAAGCGTATAAAGTTATTACTACTAACTTTATAATAGAATTACATAAAAAAGATAGTTTTCTTGACTATAATTTATAATAATAATTTCTTTATATGATTGTAGCTACCAGACATTTTTCTTGGTGTAAATAATTTTTACTTTTCAGATATCTTTTTCTCTCAATGTAGATGTTCAGCTTGTGATTTCCACGAAACAGATTGATTTATTAACGTATGCGATATCTATTGTCTTCCGTGGGAACATCGTTACGCGCACATCCGAGCGTTTGACCCTTTCTTAACGTCCAGCTTTTCTCGTATCGTTCACAAAGCGAAAAGTAACGTTAACACGATAAAGTCAGTTTCATTCGCCATTTCCGCGAGTCCGTTCTTCGATTTCTCGCACGCTCAAACCTCGGGCAACGACGAGACGCGACGAAAGACCGACCTGGATCACCTGGACGCGCGCCAGATGTAGAACGCCGGGTACTCGATGCGTGACGACCACGCGAGGACGCGCGGTCGTCCTCCGGAAGCACGTGTTAACGATTACAGATACGAGAGATGCGGGAATCACGGCTACGTTAGCTCTTTCGCGACGACTTCATTGAAAAATGATTTATGCGCGGTTTATCGTCGCACTGTCTCCGCTATACAGGCTGATTCAGAATGAATGTAACAAACTTTGACAAATTGCTCGAGAGGTTATTCTGTATAAAAAGTATCATACGAACATAGATCCCATTTTCGATACTTGCGTAATTACAGAAGTTTTCAAATGTTGCTGCTGTCATGATAAAATCACATGCTTGATAGCAAGTGACCTCAGAGAAATCAAAATAAATTATGTACAGTGTTGAAACAAACACTCATGAACAATTGCATCAAAGAATTATTGATGCATGAAGTGAACTTTGTGTGAATAATGTATTGTATCCTGTATACGATTTCTTGATTCTTCTCAGTGCCATACGTGCATTCAAGCTCACACACTTTGGAAACATACTTGATAAAATTGGACTATAAATAAATGATGTATTTGTCTATTCTTTTGTTTAGATTTGGATTTTCTTGTCACTTCCTATCAAAAACATGTTTTTATATTATGATAACACTAGAATTTTAGAACTTCTGTAACTGTAAGGTAAAGTATGTTTCAATGATTGATCTAACAAGATCAGTTTTACATTTTTATTGATATATTCAATGCTACATGAAATAATATTGCAAATTGGCATAAAAAAATATTTTTTAACAAAATTTTCAAGGCTCCCTCTCTCTCTTTTAGAAATATTAAATACAAATATATTACTGATGTTCCGATCATTGGGATAATGTTCAATTACTGGGACACTTGTGTCCTTACATAAGTGTTGAGAATAAGACATGATACACACACATTTTTTACTCAGAATAACTTCCCAAATAATCTGTCAAAGTTTGTCATGTTCGTTCTGCATCACTCTGTACACGTGCCAATTGAGATCCGAATATTTATGGACAAACGTGTTCCAAAAACGTCATTACCGGGAGATATATGTCCGGCGGATTTAAAGTCTGAAAAGAAAGTGAAAAGAATGGCTCATGCACGAATCCTTCCTTTTGGTGTATCAAATTACAGGAGAGGAAGGACAATCAAGCGTATCATATAATAATTACGTGGAGTAGATTTAGAAAGTAAATATGCATTAGTTAGAGAGATACTCGCGCTGCGGATGTGATGAGAAAAACAAAAGCGTGTACGGTAAAGAGACGCTTAAAAACGCTTTAAAGCAGACGCTTTCGTTCGACAATGTGTGCGCATGTCGTTTGCGTTGTGTGTGTGTTTCCGACACGCGGACAAGAATGCCATTAAACAAGGAGATATTTGAAAGCAGGATGTAACGCGATACCTGTTCACGCGTAGCAGTGGACGCAATTAAAAGCCACTCGTCGTCGGGCGTAAGAAACAGCGACGGTAATCACTGACCGTGCGCGAATTATTTCGCGCGATTGGAAAGATGGATGGATTTGCGTAATTTACATGCTGTCTACCTGGCAATTGACCCGCCCAACGATATCCCGTATCCTTATGTTTTCTCGGACATGTACGGTATCGCGATTTTGCGCAAAAACAAGCCTCGCAGCGGCAACAAGTCGCGATTTTTTACCGTACGATCGAGCTACGATGAGCTTTTAACGGATCAGCCTTCATTTCTTCGTCTTTGAACACCACATACTGGGGTTTCAGCTTCGGAATTTTTGATGAAGCGATCACACCCATTTATAACCGAGATATTGGGTATTCTCTATACGTTAGGACATAGTCTTCTTATGAAGGAGAAGAAGAAGAACTGCTCACGGGAAATCAAACCAAAAAATATTCTCTAAAGTACAAGCAGTATATTCTTTACTGAAATGCTATACTTATAACTGATAGTTCAGCTATAAGTTATAGCACTGCAATCGTCTCGCTGATAGGATCATTGACGATCTATGTGGAAGCCGCGTAAGCTGGGCTCCACGTAAGAGGCTGGAATTAATCGAGGAAGGTCGCGCTTCGGGTGAACCCCCTCGTTATTGAGCGACCCTGTATTACGGCAAAAAGAGCCTCGCCCGCGATCGCGACTTGTTCGAAACTGGTTCGCCGACAGGTCGTACACGGCGTCTTCGACTTGTGGAGCAACGTCGGTAATTGGGCAATTAAACGCGGACGGGGAGAGAAAACGAGATGAAAGAGAGAGAGAGAGAGAGAGAGGAGGGAGGAGAGAAAGAGAGAAAGAGAGAAAGAAAGAAAAGGAGGTTGTAGTGGTTGCAGTCTGCGCTGAGTCAGCTGGCGCTGGAGCTTGTTATAAATAGCACCACGAACTTATTCTCGCGCCGATCCGGCGATACCGCTTCCATACCTGGAATCTCGTGCGTACCAGTATTTCCTTCACACGTGCATCGCGTGCGTGCACGCATACGCGTGCACGTGTCGTGGCTGCGGCTCGAGCCGATCTCGTAAATGCCTCGGGACACGTAAGCCCATTCAAACGGCTGAATGTTGTTCCGTGGAGGAAATATTAAGGATCGCAATGACGATGTGACGTCCAACTAAACACATCCAACGTATACACGGCGAAATATTGTAGTAACAATTACGTTAAAATTATATCACTTTTTACATTATGTTTTGTAACATTGGACTACATTGAAATTGTAGTACCCGAGAAACATTTGTAACTCTCAAAGGGTTGATTTTTCTTGATCTATGTTTACCAAACATTTTTAAATATAATGAATGCTATCTATCCTGTAAATCTTGAACTCTTCTTTTAACACTCTGTATATTACTATAGAAATAGTAAATTTCATCATCTATCCTGATATACGATACGATAAACATTCAAATAATTAAAATAATTTTGTGTATACTGAGAGAAATAATATCTAAGAAATAAAAATTATTTTTTTTATTTAGTAGATACAATACTTACACTAATATATGTATAAAACATTTCTCAAATAAGAAAAGATTCTTGAAATCTTAGCTTTTCAAGAAAGTTGTTTATTTTATTTAAATAAAAGAAAATTTGAATCTAATTATGTTATTAGAACTCTCTGAATAAATATTTTGTTATTTTTTATTTTATAAAAAGGAGGAGGATCCCTAAGGTCAGTTTTTGGCACCCAAAAATTTAAATTTATCCAAAAATATCAGAAACGTTATATTTTTGTAAGATCTATTGAAATAAAGTGATTTTATTCTAAACGGACATATTTTAGTGCCTTTATGCTATAATTCTAATTAATCCCATTTTTATCACCAACGCTCTAATGTCACCTACATATCATCTCCTTACATTTGTGTATGTACGTGTGTATGTGCGTGCGCGCGTGTGTGTGTGTGTGTGTACACGCGCGCTCGATACTGCAAATATAAGGAGATGATATGTAAGTGACATAAGAGCATTGGTGGTTAATTATAGTATAAATGGAATTAATTAGAATTATAGTATAAACAGGCACCAAAATATGTCCGTTTAGACTAAAATCACTTTATTTCAATAGATCTTACAAAAATATAACGTTTCTGATATTTTTTTGTTTAATTTCAGAGGGTGCCAAAAACCGGCCTTAGGGACTATCCTCGTTTCCTATGCTTGTAAATTCGTCAAATTGTAACAAACACTACAATAGATCAATATATATGCTAAGATATATGCTAAGATTTAAAAATTCACGTAGTGCTTGCGTAACTTTTTGAATTGCACTCCGTATATAGGCGCATATAATCACATTTTTGTAATTTGCCAAGCATCTTTTCGCATTAGAAATATACTAGAAGTGACTCAGAAGTAACGCTTGCTCGCCGATTCATTAATCGTAAAATTTATCGGCTTACGTCGTTATAGAGAGAGTAGCGCCCATTCGTTATCCGCCGTATTGATTGAGATGTCTTCGAGGATTCACTCGTTGAACTGGCTTAATGCTGTAGTTGCTCGCCTTGAGCCACGGGATGATATAATATGACATGCACAATGCATACACACATAGAAAAGGTAGACACTCGATTGCATATGTAATGCCGAGGAACTATTCCACTATTAATTTGCATGGTAACAATAAGTTGCTGAATGCAAATGAGTTTTCCTCTCATATTGCATAAGTGTTATAAAGTGCACGGAAAGAACGGTTGGCCCACGCGTTAATCTGGTTGAGCCAGCCGATATTAAATCACAATCAGACTTCTGTGTGAGCCAGCCACGTCATCTTTTGTATTTTCGCCGATCAGCATAAAAGTGCCCATCACTCATAAATACTCGTAACACTTAGTCTCATTACAATCAAATGTATGTTGTTTCTCTTTCCTTCTTTGACTGTACGATCTTACGAAGATCTTTACAAAGAAAACGTTGGCTGCACACCTGTGAAATATTGAATTTTCCGCTAATTTGCGCACGACACAAAAAGATCAAAGCGGATGTGGTGCACTATTATGAGTGAATCACTCGACATCTAGGCGTCTGTTCGGGATTATACAATCCGCGCGTTACAAGCGAAGAGAATCGTGAAGGTACGTCACTTTGAGCTAACAATATGCCCAGCACGTTGCCAAAAATAGCACACTGTATTCGATTAAGCGTGGCGTCGGGTCGTAACTTGGTCGCGTTGAACGTCCTTTGAAGAAATTTTTATGCGCGATCGTCGTAAAAATTCCAGCTTGAAATTACGGAGGGAATCCGGAATTTAATTAGGCACTTACGGGTTAACGATCGAGCTGGGCGATCGCGCGATAAGCGTTTAATGCATGTTCCACATTTCAGTCTTTATAAATAGTTTTGATGCCCGTTGCCAATTTCGTTTTTTTTTTTTATAAAAACAGGAATGACGTCCGAGGCTAGATATCCGGATGTAGAAGAAGAAACGTTGTCCTTGTAATGCGCTCGATTATTCAAGGATGTTTGTGCCTGCGGTCCCGCAGGCTCAAAATGATGGGCCCGCGGGATTTGCTTTATACATGACGCATTTAGATGAAGATAAAAACGCTATTATAGAATTCATCGGCTGAAAGAGTTTCCGCTCGCCCTCGGTTTGTCGTCGCATTCTGTGCCGCGCGTTGATTAATTGAATTATAATTACCCCGATGCACACCAGAAGGAGGTCTGACATCAGCTCCGCGTGACAAGATTCATTCGGTATGCATAGAGAAGAAAAGATTTCTGTACCTAATAGTATATCATAATTCAGACTAGGTAGGTTTGTCTCGGAGATCCGTGATTAGCACACCTGCGAAAGCCATCCATGTATGCTGAAAAAATTATTGTTGTATTGTATTGTTGCAACTAAAATATTCTTACATCGGTTGGCATTACCGCGTTTTTGTCTAGTAAATATGTTGTTCAGAAAACAAAACACACAGCGGCAATTAAACTTTTTGCTGGCAATAATCAAGACTTGATTTTAATCCCGTTTTAACCAAATTATGGTCCGGCCTACCAAATTTTTTTTCGACCCCAAAATTCTCTTTTCAGTGTATACGTGAAAGCAACACAAACGTATAACAGTTTAATTACATCTTGCCGAATTCACTGTGCGAATCTTAGATGGTAACATTATTATGATATAAATATTTTTATATTTATATACGGAAGAAAAGAAGTTTGAATGAATTAAAATTTAGGTGAAATATGAACGAAATTTTGGTTGGAGTCAGCAAAAATTAATCTATCAATTTGTCACATAATGAAATGAAAATTTTATGCAATTTGTTATCTCTTTTAAACGTTACGTTCACAATTAATACCCAAAACGGTAGCTGTTTCATAATTTAATTACTCGTTGTTGTATATTTCAATATAATTTGCATCGTTCTACATAATTTACATTGTCTACATTGTGAAAAATGAGCGTATACATATCGTACAGAGAATACGCGAACAATCCACATAGTAATCTTGAAATCTACACGACGTAACCTTGATACAAAACATAATAGAAAATATCCTGTAAAGCATTAGTCAAATATAAAAAGATCGTATATTTGGCTATATGTAGCGTCGATAACGAGCAGCATTGTGTGCCAATTATCGATCTAATTTATCGTCTCTACCTCTCTTTATATGGTATAAAAAGATTCGGGATGCCGTCGCGTACGTGTTGTTTCCGGCGAACTAAAAATAAAGCAAATACTAAATCGAATCCTTTTGTGTTTGCCTTCCAGGCGTACATCTCCTGCGCCCTGGGTGTCCACAGGGTCGGCTACGTCATGATCTGCTTCGGGGTGGTCAACGCAGGCTGCTCCTTGCTGTTCGGCTCGTTAATGAAATTCGTCGGCCGACAGCCGCTGATGGCGTTGGGTGCCATCGTTCACGCCTCCCTCGTGGTCGTCCTTCTCATGTGGAAGCCTCACCCTGACAATCCCTACATTTTTTATTCCGTTTCCGGACTGTGGGGTGTAGGTGATGCCGTGTGGCAGACGCAGGTTAACGGTGAGTGTTTGTTGTATGTAACGTGCGTGCGAAGTCGTCACAATCGAAATGTCGTAAAATAAAATCAAGTAAAGAGATCGCGCGAACGATAAAAGGACTTATCGCGCGAAAAATAGGAATTTATTGCCTGCGCATTATTTTCTAAATCTTTTAGAGTGAAATTTCACCCGAAAAGTAAAGTGATCATCAAGTCACTCGCATTTGAGTGACTTTTCACTCATATCAAGGGAATTCTCCACTTTGAATCAGCGAGTGAATATTTTCAGTTAAAATTGAAAAGTGAATCTGCTGTACTTCATTGTTTACTTTGCTATTACAAATCAGTTTTTTTTTTATTTTTTAACTGTACTATTATTCCAGTATTAAAACTCAGAGAAAAGTATGTTCTAAAAGAGAAAGGATCATTTTGCGATGTTGTACCTACTATTCCTTTCAAGATAAATACTAAAAAAAATAGCACATGAGCAACATACCCCTGAGGCCATATAGACCCGGCTTCCCCTACGTGATGCGGATTCGGACAGTTTCACAAAATCATCATTATTCTCGACCTGCCAATTTCCCACCATCAGCTGCCAAAGCGGTTGAGCGCTGCGCGCGCGCAAAACATAACGAAGCGCGAACATAATCGCGACTCGCGTGCCATTATTCGTACAATCGAACGTAACGAACCAAGTGATATATCGTCGTGTCACGGCGGAGCTAAAAAATCCATCGATATTCCGCGCTGAATTGAAGCTGTTCATTAACACAAGGAGAAGTAGCGAGGGAACGTCTTAGACTCACGAGTCTCTATTCATTACGCTTCCCTCTTGTCGTCTCGAAAAACGAATCCATGAATTTTGAGTGACTACGGCACTATCGGTGCCTCCGAGACGTGCGGCTGAATTTGTTTGTCCGCAGTGAACGCGGAAATTGATACGTCGACCGGGTGTACTTAACGGCCATCTCGACAGCTATTACGTCGAGGAACATCCGTCGGGAAACGCCTCGCTTGTCATTTGTCTCGAGAACGAAGAAGAACTTTTCAATACTGAATCGCGGTCACTGACCGAAGACCACAAAAAAAAAGCATCTCGTCACCGAGTTCGCGGCAACCATTAAGTCATCGGCTTGATATACCTGGAAGCGTATGCTTCGTTCTGAACGATCGTTCGTTATGTAAACATCAATCCATTCAAGATTTTTGGAGCAAACGTTGTTCACAAAGAAAAATAGAAGTCTCGTTAAATTGTAAAAAAATACTGAATCAATGTTGTTAATTTTACTTGGGAATATTATTAATTTTTCAAGATTGGATAATTTCTTTTCTATTTTATTTTACGGACACGAACTTTTTGCATCAAACTAACAGAATTAATTTCACGAGATGTGATTCTTTTTAACGCGATTATTTCTAAATGTAGAAAGTTTTATGGTACATCATCGTCTTCTTTTTCGTGCCCTTGATGAGAGAACACCCGCCTCGTCACAACACGCGAAATCACGCGAATATACTGTGAATATAAGCAAAAGAAGACGATTCTGGCCTTCGCGCTTGTCTTGGATCTTACCCGAAAATTCGTAGATAATGCCTCTCTCTTCACAAATATAAAAAGAAAAAGGAACACTACTCAGGACCATTTTTTCCGCCAGCCTTTCGTGCTCAAGGACACGGGATTCGCGATTGTGTATCTCGCGCTGGTTATACTCATCTCGCAATTAGCTGCGAGGAAGAAGCCACGTTAAGTATTACAAATGACGACGTTCACTTTTTAGGCTCTCTACCATTGTAATGAGAGAGGGGGAGAGAGATAATCGCGGTCACTTTTTTCTGAGGTAATAATAAAAACAAAGAGCGAGCGAGCGAGCGGCGTACTACACGTCGATGAGAATTCGAATCGATTTTGCGCTTGTTCGCGGCCGCGGAAATTCACACGAGTAACAAACGGCGCGAATGACACACGGCAATTTCGTGTTGCTCGCGCGCAACAGGTTTCTCCCGTTGTAATTAGAGCTTCTGCACAATTACACTGCCGGAAAGCGAGTCTCGGGCGGTTGTTTTTGTGCCCCAGTGCGCGAGGACTTCTGGTGAGATTAATCGCCGCGGCGAGATTAATCTGTCGAGTCGCGCGAGATTTTGCAGAAATCGATATGTAAATCCGCCGTACGGCGTGTTCAACCGTGTACAATGCGTAGACGGTCACGATGTATTCTATTTATTTAAAGGGAAAATACGAGTATATGTTTGAACTTCTCACATGCGTAATTAAGTGATATTCGCGTATTTAAACAAAATTTGTAACTATTTCTGCACGGAAATGACGTTACACTAAGGGAAACCGGGACTATTTAGGATAAGTTGGCAAAATCGATTATTCCTACTAACAGATTTCAAAATCAAACAAGCAAAGATATCAAAGTCATCTTTGACATGTTGAAGAATCTTGTTTGCTTAATTTTGGAAAATACTAGAAATAATCGGTTTTACCAATTTACCCCGCTGACCAACTAGTCTCGGTCTTTCTTATCCATGATCACTCCAAACCTATAATTCTTACACGTCATTTTGCTTAACATAATTTAGCTTTGCATTTTGGCTCAATAAAAGAGAAAAATGGATAAAATTTCTTATGTAATAATATTGTAATTATAGTCTCTCGAGCCATTCTCTCGAGTTTTTATTTTCAAACAATTTCTTTGGCTCGTTCTAAAGAAAAAATTTAATTTCCTTGTTAAAATTTATTTTCGTTTTATAAACAAGGAACTAAGATAAAAATTAAAATTCTGCCCTTATAGTTACAGAGAGAGAGAAACTATAACTACATAAACTATTTTATAGGAAACTTTTTCTATTTTCTTGATTAGACTTTTGTATACAAATTATGCAAACCAGAGACGCATGCAAGAGCTGCTGGCAATAGATGCTGTGACGTCATTTCAGCACGAAAAATAATTATTAAAATAATTAATGCGAATATATCACACTTGATTACATATATAAAATTCAAACATATTCACTTATTAATTTTCTTTAAACAAATTCTCGAATATGTTGCTTTTTTAATCTGAAAAAAGTAATTTGCTCCGTAAAAAGTAAACTGTACCAAAATACACACACGCACTTACCTCCCTCTGCTCTGTTCACCAACAGGATTGCACATCCTGCGATTTCCGCCGGCGTAATGGGTCGACGTGTCTCCCGCCGCGCGTTCCACTTTTCTTCCGCGGATTTCCCGTCTCTCTTTATAGGTCTCTCACTTTTCTAACGGGCGAAGCTCGCGAACGGATCTGGTAGTGCGCTATCATTACCGTCATTATGTACTCTCCGAAGGCGCATCTAACGAGAGTCAGGTCAAGGATTTCGCGATACAAGCGGCACCCGTTGATCCTCCGCCACCGTCGCCGCCGTCGTCGCCGGACGAGCCGCGACGATGAGCGTAAAGCGCCGACACGACCGACCTCGATGCACGCACGTGGTATCTGGATGCACCCACACGCGCCGCCGCATACGATTACCGCAAATCCGATAAGAGCACCTGCCAAGTCGAGCCGCAGCAAACGAGATATCTCTCGACGTTAGCTGGCCGCGTCATTTTCTAACGAGTGGGCAGTTTCGCAACGCTCAAATATCCCCGGCTCTATGTGAATTGAAATACTTTTTTCGATATCGCCCCATCAATCGACAATCTAGAAATGCTGCGATAATCACGCTGCAGAGTAACCTGCCGACGATTCATAGTTAATTAGATGAGCCCTCGTGATATTCAATCGTAAATTACTAACATGAGGAAACTCTAGCAAGTAAGAACACGCTTTTAGACAAAGTCATTTTTAAACAGGAAGAAGGAATAATTGTCGTTAAAATTATTGTTTCTTTCCCATAACGTAATGCATGTGTCGATATGGTTATCTTATTTTAATGTATGCGCACCGATCCGATAACAAACTATGTCAAACTTGATCTTAGTCCGGTAACCCTAAAGAGGATCTCTTAACAGAGTTCGTAGGTTAAATAGAACATCTAAAAAAATATGACTTTAACGGAAGTCTTTTATATATGGCCTTCTCTTTTAAAATTAAAAAGAAAATATTTTAACATAAAAAACTCTAGTTGCAATAGATGCTATTTCTTGTAATTCCATATTCTAGACGAAAACCTAATAGAGTATCAAAATAGCCGTTGGGTCGAGAGTAGGATCAACATTTCGACTTTCGGGTACACTTTTTTCCACCTTGCTGTTGCTCGCAATAGATTTGCTGATCGACTCGATGTATCTTCGCAGGACTCTACGGCACGTTGTTCAGGCGCAACAAGGAGGCAGCCTTCTCCAACTACAGACTGTGGGAGAGCGCCGGTTTCGTGATCGCCTATGCGTACAGCACACACCTTTGCGCCCGCATGAAGCTATACGTGTTGCTAACAGTGCTGATCACCGGCACGATGGGCTACATTGTCGTGGAGCTGCTGCACAGGCGCAAGCAACGGCGGCTCAAGGCGATCGCCGAGGACCCGAAGGCCGCCCAGGCCGAGGTGAATCAGCCAGAGGAGACCGACGACGAGAAGGACGACCTCGACGACGAGATCATCATCACCCACCTGTGAGCGACGACGACGCGGTCGTTCCTCCTCATCTTCGCATTACGACGGGACCGCTCGTCTCGTCGACGGGGAAATCGACGATAACGGCGGGAAGCTGCCGGGAAACAGCCGATCGATCGTTCGATTTCGTGGACACATTTTCCTAATCCGACGAACTCTTCCTCTCTATCCTCTCTCGTTCTCGATCGCGGGATCGGCTGTGCAGCTGTCCATCGCGATTCCCCGTCGACGATGATCGCAACGTGAGGGAAATTCGCACCACGACGTGGAGTCACGCACACAAGAGCGCAATATAAGGAGAGAGGACTCGCGAGATCAAGGCCGGCACGACCTCCAAGTGTGAACCGCGCACCTTCCACGATGAAGTGGAAGCACCCAGCGTCAACCGCCTCCCCGCGAGGAAACGCATGTCAATTCGGCTCTCCTGCTCAACGGGAGCAGAACGAGTCAATGATGGACAACACTTGTCGACGCTTGTGCGGTGCTGAGGAACGCGTCGTAGAGATCGTTCTCGTGCTATTGGGAACGTGGGACTTCTGCCGACGTAGCTCGCAGCTTTCGAATCGCTGCGAGATACACGGCGACGAACCATCCCGACGACGACGACGGCGCTCGTGGTGGCTGCAATCTCGACGTTATGTTCGCGGCAGGATTGCGATCGAGTGCGCGCGGTTTCACGCGTGGCTGAACAGTGCATCTCGTTGCGCGCTCGCGAAAGAAACCCGGCGGTCCCGGAACTTGTCAAGTTCGTCCGGTATTTATTACGTGCAGGATTGTCGAATACTGTTCCCGGCGAACCGGAAACGGCAGTCATCACTTGCCATCGCGGATCCTTCGGGAAGAACAATTGAAAAAAAATCGATTCTATCTTTTGCAGATTGCCGAATGTTGTCGAGTATTGTATCTTTAGCGATTTTCTTCCGTGGAGTCCTTTACCGACTCCTTGATTCTGAAAACTCGGAATTTCAGTATTTATATCCTCTTAAGAGTGTGCTCCATTACTCGTTCGTACCTTTTGCTCGACATTTATTGCAAAAACGAAGGGACACGCGCTGATGTCAATGTCAGTCGAATGCATTCAGTGGTCTGTGCGAATTAATGATCACCCGCGAACATTTTTACTTCGAGATACTTAATTAACTGCAAAGATTACTGTATATCGTGTTTAAACACGAAAATGCGCAATGATGTGTCTGCAATCTGTAATTAATGCAAATTGGCATAAGAATCGACAGAAATTGGTCGTATTTGAATAATGATGTCCTCCGGTTTTGTTGAAATTTACAATACTCTATTCTTGAAAGAAAAAAAAAAAGGAAAACGAGAAAAAAGATTGAAAAAGAGAAACTCACTGGCTTACGTCGAGGAACGGCGTTTTTGCGAGTAATGAATGTCGTTATCGGTCACGTCGGCGCGGCGAGATTCCCCCGCATTTTTCGTGCGCGGAACCCACGCGAGAAGCACGTGAGATGTGTGCGTTGGTCTGTAGGTTACAACAGTATTCTACCTGCAAAGAAAAGGCGAGCTAAAAGGAACTGACAGAGATTCATTTAGAGCGCGCGAATTCCTAATCGTCGGGGATTCAAATCACGCGTGATTCGCTCGGGCATTCTGTTTAAAATTCTTTTATCTCGCTTCGCGGAAGCAAATTTGTTTTAATAGAAAAGACCGGCTTGAAAAGATCGTTTCTCTCGTGAGAGTGACAAGGTACCAAAGTAAGCTTTTCTCTTCCTCGCAAGTCTATCGAGTTACGTCACTTTTTTTTAAGATAAGATTGAGTAAATGAAGGTTGGAGAACTCGCTGCTGGAAGGCAGCTGGAAGGAGGAATCTAAAGCTGGAAGATTGAAAATTCCGCGGAACGAATCTCTGTCGATCTTTACCGCTCGACCTATTTTCTGCGGGGACTTTATCGCGCACCACTTTTCACTTGCCCTTGTAGCGTTCTCGACTGCACAGATTTTCATCGGCTTGGGACGAATTGATGAAGTGTTCAAGCCTTTATCCTGCCTGTGATTGACCAGTGGAGGCTTATGACGTCATTGATCAACCTTGAATCGATCAAAACCCGTATAGTCGAAAACGCCATCAGAGACCTAGGAAAAGGTGCAAGAAACATATCAAGTTACTAGAAACACCGTAATCCGCTTGGATACAACATTCCGTCCTACCATATTCTACCCGATAGCTTAAGAGTCTACGACATAAGCTTAGGAATACGGACGCAATCCTAGCGAGATCCATTCTTCGCCGTGCCGATGGAACGCCGATTATCTCTCTGACCGAAATGGAAAGACGCGAGATTTTACAAAGAAACGTAAATTGAACGTTTTGATTCTCCGTTTCGCCATTTTTGTGTTCGGTCTTATTCTTCTCATGCATCTTCAGTGCAACTTAGAGCAAAGTATCACGACTGCGTTATATTGGATCGCATATATCTCCTTATACGTTTATTTATAAAAGAATCGTACGTGAGAATATTGAAAACTCCTCTGTATCTCGCAGCGGCGAGTGTTGTAATATTCGTGAGACTATAGAGGAATTTCTTCTAAATTCCTTCTAAATACTCCAATTAATCTCTGGCTTAATTGAGCTTCGGCTATCGAGCATCCCGCTATGTAATCACAAGTGCGTGCATAGGCAAGACCGAGAGAAAGCTCGCCGTTGCTAAAAATAACCGTCTTCTCATAAAATGTGCGATTCTGTTGAATGGCAGAGTTGTCCTTAATCGATGTTACCGGTTTATGGATTGCCCGTCAGAACAAATCTCGCTGCCTTTAGCTCTGCGCGAACTCGACGAATTGCGACCTGTAGCAAATCTCCTCAATTCTCTAGACAACCGAAACGGTGAATACTCAGCAGTGCTTAGGTGATCTTCGTAAAATTTACAAAATAACAAAGATTACTGTAATAACCAATCCTGGTAAAATCATGCAAAAAAGATATAATTGTCTGAATTTGATGAAATTAATTTATGTACGGCGAGATGGCCACATCAGGTATTTTCTCCCGGAGAAAAGTTTCTTCCCGCGTTCTGCTTGTCTCCAGAAATCTCTCTGTAGTGTCTCACGAGACACCGTAATTGCCGGGGACGGTTTCATCAGTGAGGAGCCGATGCAACCCGGGTTACGATCGCGTCTTTCCTCTTTGCAGTTTATCCGATGTTTAAGCAATATCTACAATGAAAACTTAAGCCATAAGACTTAAGCTTTAAGCCATAAGAAATTGACCAATCACAATGAAATATGAGGAAAATAATAAAAAATCAGTGATTAGTTAATTTCTTATGGCTTAAAGCTTAAGTTGCTTGAGTTCTCATTATAGACATCGCTATATCGACCCTACAACGATAAAGCACCGGCGATTGCTCGAGTCGCGTCTCGGGGGAACGAGCGTTTCCCCGACGCGGCCACTTTTTCCCGCGGTGGCGCGGATCAGAACGGGACGGGCAAGAAGCTGGGGACAGGAAACTCGTGAACGAGAATCCTGTCTCCTCCACCTCCTCCTTCTCTGGAAAGGTAGAAGGAGGAGGAGGAGAAGGATATTCAGCCTCGCGCCGACTGCCTATTTATATACCGCTGGTACTTATCCGTCCGTCCGACCGACACGGTCCGGTCAGCTTCCAACGACGCGGCCCGGCGCCGCGTCCGTCTCGTTACCTTCTTATTACACTCATCCACTTTCTTGCTCGTTTTCCGCGCTACCACTGACTCGGCAACTCGTCCTCCACTGTCGGAGCGACGCGGCGCGGTTTTCTGCGCGACATCTTTTCTCACAAAGAGCTCCTTAAGGCTTCTGGAAGGGGTCAATCGTGAATTTTTTCCTCTGGTGCGAACTCGTGAAAAATAAAAAATCTGATCATGGAAATACATGTAAATGTTCACTTTTCGCAAATTTACATTGGAAGAAAGGAGTCGCCTCCAAGTACTGTAAAATTATTCACTTTTCACATGCCTTCATGCCACAAAAATTACACGATTAATAAGTCAGATCGAATTCACGTGGAAAGATTCATAATCGATGCCTTGGCTATTTGTTGCGGCCATTTTGTTCGACGACGTCAGAAGCGAGGAAACGTATGCCCAAAATGCCCGCAAAGCACGTCGAAATAAAAAAATGCCACTTGCAATTCTTTAAGCCTTTAAAATACTCTGAACACTTCCGTTTTGTATTCCGTTTTGTAATAATCGATAAGTAACTGTAAAATTAACATTATGTGTGACCTTTCTTCTTAACCTACATTTTCTTATTAATCTGTCTCTCTCATTTTACAATCCAGACAGCACAAGATCCCAGGGGATGACCTGAGGACGTTCTCAAAACATCTTTAAGATGTCTTGTTCTGTAAGATCTGTGCTGTTTTGGGAATTGTTTATTAATCGTTAGAACAAAAGTGTTTGGGATATTTTGCAGGCGTGCTTAATCGATTGCAAATGTCGTTTTTCGGATATATCCTTTTATTTCGATATATTTTGCAGGAATTTCGGCATGCATTTTCGCGCTTCTTCTGACGCCATTAATCAAGATAGCTATGGCGAAAAGCCAGGAGCCTTAATAATCATGCTGGAAGCCGCACGTCGAACAGACGAACGCGAAATGCTTTGCTCGCTTTTACGCGCGTCCCTCCTCTCTATTTTTCTCTTATTTCTTCCTCCTTTTCTTTACCTTCTCCCTGTGTCTCTGCCTCCCCTCCTCTCTCTCTCTCTCTCCTTCTTTTTCTCGCTCCTCATCTTCTCAATGCCGCGGAAAGTATTACAGCTTCTTGACGGGGTCACGTTACTTTTGTTTTTTTATCCTACGCCTTTCCTCCCTCCCTTCTTTCTTCCCTCGCGATAAATATCCTCGCCGCAGGAGTCCTGAAAGTGGAATGAAACGAACGACGGTGATCAGTATTAATCACACTAAGTAAACGACGCCCGGTCGCGCAATCATTTTCTCGCGTATCTCACTTGATGCGCATCCCCACGTATGTACTCGCGCCAGAATAACATGTAATTCTTATCGAGATAACGTAAGAAGCGATGAGCTTTATTGTTACGTTTTAAGGAAAAGCCGAGAAACTGTTGTGCCGCGCGGCGTGAACATTCTTGTGTATCTGCCACAGACAATGCAACCTGTAGAGACTATCCCCCTTTTTTCGCAAAAATTCTGCGAAAAGTTGTAGAAAATAAATTATTCTCAGCAATGCAACCCAGATGGAGACCTTTTTGCTCTCTTTGCAAAAATTGTAAAGTGAATACAAGGCGAACGTGATGACTCAATCGAAGACAATCGCGTCAGAGAGCGGTGCGTTCTATCGCAAACACGCCGACGACACATTCTGATATATTATATATATTATACACGCCTTATTATACACATAGGATATCCAGTTTCGTAGTCGCATCGAGAATGAATATTTCCTGCGGCGTTCTGCCAGCTCTATCTTATCCTTTATTTGTTGCATCACGAACATTGTAGATTTAAGTAGCTCAAGTTATTCGTTTGTATGGGTGTAGCGGATGAATGGGATTAACGTTGAAGTCGTTGTCGAAAGGATGAAACGAGCGAGTGATTACGAACACGCATTCGTTAATAATTGTGTTATTAAAGCGTGCGACAATAAGTCGGCGAATCTCTTAGCTTGAGTTCGACTCGGCCCCCGATCCTATTCATTCGCGATCATTATGCACATTAATATTGTAATTAGTTAAATAGGATTACGGCACGAGACACATGAACGTCGGTGAGACGAAAGGTCGAAAACTTGTCTGCGTGAAAGAGACTTTGGTGTAATTCTAGAGAAGCACCGTTTCTACTTTTGTGTCGGGGACTTCATCTTACACGAATTATAATCTGCACTTTGAACGCGTCAAAAAGACATGGTTTACTGGGGACCACGATCTAACAAATACTTGTAAGCCTGCGAGATTAGACTTCTTAGATATTTTACTGAAAGATATTAAGTTTCAATATGTGTACCCCCTCTTCTCTTATATATATATATATATATATATATATATATATATATATATATATATATAATATTTACAGCGCGTTATGTATGTGCAATATAAATATAAATAAAAAAGAATATATATATATATATAAATGATTGTTTATGAGATCACACGCGCCGAATGCTATCCGGGCTGACATAGAAATCCACGTTAGTTCTTTCATATATGACATAAAGATCCACATTAGTCTTACTCTTATTGAGATTTGTAAATATTCAATATTAGTATTAATCGTTAGGCATAATTGTGAAAACGAAAGGAGCAACGCACATCGAGCAAGTTTTACACATTGTTTTCTGTTACTCTTATTTAACTACGTTCGTGCGCGTCGAAAAAGCATAGAGTATCCCCCTGGAATATTGTTATCCCCTTTGCTTCTTCCCTTATATTCGAGATCGCTGGATCTGTTCTCTTCACGCTCGTTCGCGTTCCCTTATCCCAGATAGACATATTTTAGCATATTGTCTGAGTAATGAATTGAGAATTAAAAATTGTAGTGCAAATGCGTAAAAACGTGTCATAAAACAAGAATTTTGTCAGTATGTAAAAGAAGGCATCTGATGCTACGAAAATTGTTATTTATTTGCTGGCAAGAGACCGCAAATATGATCTGAAATTTAATCTAGTAATTAGAAGTAAACGTTTTGATTCCAAATATGGTGTAATATGAAATGGTATTTCTTAAAATAATATCTTTTAAACATGTGCTCCTGCAATAGTATGACAAGGTATACATTAATTGTTTGCATACCATGTTCAGCATATCTGTCTATCTAGGATATCTATCCAAAGCATGAGCATATACTTGTCTCGTTTTAAATACAGGGAGCGCGTTGAAGCATCATTGTAATCGAATGGATCATGCGTTTAAATATTCGTCACTTTTAGGACTCGCACGAACGCGGTTGTTATTATACATATATCCTTAGATAAGCTAAGGGGATTTGGCGTATCTGCTAAGTTTGTTGTTTTATCTACGATGTAAGATGTCTGACGTCGTCTGTTGTTGACGCGTCTTTAACAACATTGTACAGTATATATTATTATTATCTTCCCACACGCGCATACACATACACATACACACACACACTTCCTTATGTTATACCGTTGCGTTCGATTGTTATCGTACATTATGATGACACGCTGATCATAGTTATAATCATTAAATTGTTAAATTGTCGTCTCAGATTATTGCAGCTATAGTTAATAATATATTATTATGTCATCATGACCGACACGTAATGTTATATGTAAAGGTTAAGAATCATTTTATTAAAACTGTCAATTAAGATATAATGAATGTGAAGTTTGTTCATTCCTCAGTCTCTCTCCAATTGATGTAACCACGCTTTTGTTCAAGCATGTGTCCATTTTCTACGGAAGAGAACAGTAATTCTTGTTGAGTTTGTCAGATTCGAAAGAAATCTATATCTAAAAATGGCAAATGTTTTATAGTATAGTTTAAAACATAATTTGTACGATCTGTTTATTTAATGAGTCATTTTCGTGAGAAAACGCGATAAGCTAAGAAATAAAGAAATAATTTAGGTAGCTGAAAATTCGTAACTTTTTATAAATATAAATTTTTTATCTAATAAACACACACGATACCAATAAGATAGATCTACGTGGAAATCTGCGAAATAATAGCTTTTATAACCCAAGTTCTCGGAGGACGACAAAACAAAGGAGGAAGCGCGGTATTATTACACGTTATCTTGTTACGTAATTCTATTGCAAACGCCATTTACTCGAACGAAGTTAAGACTTATTCGCTATTCTACAGCGTTACAAATCTAAATTTATACAACTAAAATGAAACGTACAAGTATATCGGGTTGCTACTTTTTCTCGACTGCTAAACATCTCGTTAACCTCATTAATAATAATGTGTATTAAAACACTGCTAAAATGTCATGTATTATAATGAGTTTATTACAATAGTGAAAATTATTTACAAGATTTCACTTGAATAATTATGTATTCACATTAGCAGTCTATATGCATGTGTATATATGTAGGGGTATGTGTGTGTATATTTGCAGTATAATAATATAAAAATATCCAATATTTTCGTATTACAGCCAACTTTTACGATTATTTATACAAGAAAATAGTGATATAAAATGATTATTTATAAAGGAAAATAGTCATCACAATTATTGGAATACAAGATCTAATATGTGTAAAATTCGTTTCTAGAGCCCTAATGTTATTTACTAAGGTAAAGATTCTCTACAGATAAGTACCTGCAAATTAAGCACGAAAGAACAAAATAAATACAACTATCTCAACAAAATTTCAATATAGAAAATATAACTATAATCCTCTAGGCTACATATGATACTATTTTTCTTAACATAATATTGTTACAATAATAAGTGATTTTTTATTTAATAAAGTTCAATGCTCTCTATATATCATAGGTCCCATAAAATTCTGCACCGATATATGATCTGCTCAGTAAATCATACAAAGAAGTAAATGTTAAAGATTGAAGAGGTATTATATTTCATTGTCTTTAAGTCTACTTTCTTGTATGATTTATAATCATGGTCTTAATTATTCCATGGCACATCTGTATAAATAAATGCTATAGATAACTGATAAAATTTTGAATAATACAGTAATACACACAAATCTACTACCTAGTCTTATTATTGAGCATGTTTTTTTTTTCATGTAAGTAACAACTGAAAGAGCGCACCAGATAGCACAAAGTACATTGCTCATATTTTTTATCATATACTAGTATCATAACAAGGGATATTATGTTTATATATAAATAGTTGGCTAAATATAATACTGTTTTATGTATGAAATGCTAAGTATCTAAATACATTTTATTAGTAAATTAAACATACGAAATATTTTATTAGTTTTCACACATTTTTTTCTGATGAAGTTAGGAGCACATAAAGTGGCACGATTGCGAGCCACTACTTACGAGCTTCCAAGGTAATCAGTTGACAGGACTCAAAATGATCGTATACGAAACATCTGATATCAATTACAGCTAAAAGTATCCAAAGGAAAAAAACGTAAGATTTTTATTATAATTTTATCTACTATATAAAAGTATCATATTTACTATGTATATTGTCATGTTAGCTTATCATAACTAATTATCACGCAAGCTCGTAAACAATGGCTCGCAATCGTGATTATTTTACGTGATGCAAACTTCACTTGAGAAAATATGCGAAAACTATTGTGCAAACGAGTGTACATCTCTACTTTCTTCATCGACCAAAAGCAGCGTATATTCGCTTCGATGTGATCGTACACACCTGATATAAATATCGCAATATATACAATACATGTAAAAAAGTATCTTATAACAGCCTCTAGTATTGGTATATATTTAATATCACTTATACGTTATGAGCATAATAACGTTAGACTATGCTGCATAAATATTCTATCTGTCTACTTATAATATTCGTACAGATATTTACACAGCATTGATCTACAACGATTTAAACAATGGCGTTTTTTTGTCTTTTAGAATAAGTTTGGTAGTGATACAGCCGATAAAATTATTATGGCAGACAAAACGACCGATCTATTCGCCAATAACGGCACAATTCGTAAAGCTCTCGTGACATGCGAGACACACGCGTCATATAATGTAATATATTATATTTTACTACGTGTCTAGATCTGAAGCCTACAAAATTCGTAAAGCTGTTTCGTTTATTCAACCTCAGACAGCACAAGGAACGTCTTGGGGATGTCTTGGAGACGTCTTTAAGATATCCCTTAGAAATCTGTACTGTCTGTAACACTATGTCTATTCGCTATTTTTCTGTGCTGGAAGACTTTTAGTGCAAACTAGGATTCCTTAGATCAGTGTACGGAATTTGTTGCACATTCGAGTCGATTATCATCTATTGATTAAATAAACTACTAACATGCATTTATCTCGCTCTTGAATTAACTCGAACATGCAACAGAATATCAATACATTCGATCATTACAACTTCATTGTAAAATGTATGTTTTACAACTTCATTGTAAAATGTGTGTTACGTGAAAAATATAACATAAAAGGCACTGTAACAACCCCGAATCTACGATCAGCTGAAACTCTAGTGATTATCTATAGTCTAACAAAATCAAGTGTATATTAACTGTAAATCGCACGGAATTATATCTCGCCGTCTAAGTACGAAACTTCGAAATACTTACAAGTGTTGCAAATTTAAGAAAACATTGTATAAATCTTGAGCTACATCAAACTGGCATTCGAAATTTCGAGGTCTATAGTTTCATCCTTAAGTAACGCTCGCCTATCCTCCTTCACGTTACCCTGTTTTTTACCGCCGCCCTTGCGTTTTCCTCTGTTAACTACGCCATCGATTTCATCCATCATACGCAGAATTTGCGTCTGGTCGGAGCTGTCTATCGGAGCTATTGAGATATCACGTACGGCTCGGAATTTGCCGCAGTTATTTAAATGCTCGTTCTCCAGTCGGAAAAAATTCCATACAAATCGCCTGGAAACAGTCTCATGTAAAGGGAGGTACACATACGAGAGGGAATTGTCGCTTGGGTTCGCCGGTCTCACCTGAAAACCTCAAGAGGCGCTACTATGGAAGTCATTAGGTCATTAGAGACATACTCTAATTCAATGAGAATAAAACTGACGATCCACACAAAGCGTAGTATAAAATCTTCTATTATTGCGAAGTAATAAAATCCCTGAAACACACGCAAGATTTAACATCTTTCCTTGTAGTTTAAAGTTTACTTAGTGTTTAAAGTTGTAGTTTAAAATTTACTTAGTACGCATTACTTACAGTTGCCGAGTAAACCATCTCTTCACGGAGAAATCGGTTTTCACCGGCGTTTTTATCTAAAAGGCCCCAATCCATCTTAAGATCCCATGTGAAGGAGTATATCGAGCTTGCAAAACTACAAAACAACCACGCCCATAACCACCCGTTCTCCCAACGATTTGCATATTCCACTGAAAATATTCGAGTATATTCGTCTTTTTATTATTTCTTTTTTATGAATTTTTGTTCATACAATATTCACAAATTATTTAATATAATATAATTATATATAGAGTTTCTGATAATACACATAAAACTCTCGTATACGTGTAGATTAAGTTCAAATTGAACAAAAAATTTCTCTATCATTTTGTAAAATACGTAAAATGTTGAGTCATTACTTGATGAATTTTTTAATTCATCAATTAATAACTCAAATTGGTGAGAATTAAAATTGATGAATAATTACGCGAGATACTGCAGATAAACGGTGATATCGATATCTACCGTCGTGTGCTTATACATTAGGTCAAACTGAACAAAACAGTCCTCTACCATTCAACCACGTAGACTTTTTTTATTATTAATTAAGAAGATTGGCAAATAATTATATGTACGATAGCCCGCCAATCTTCTTTAATTAATAACTCCAAAATCTAAGTGATTATTTGCAATGGTAGATGAATCTTTTGTTCAGTTTAATGTAATCTACACGAGAGAGAGAGAGGATTATATATGTTATCGTTAAATATCCTATGTAAAAGATACATTTTATAATTATAATAAGCACAACGTACCTGCGTAATAGCTGGATAAAGTGTTAGTCGCGACAACAATGAAAGTCATAGCATACTTTCCAGCGTTCGCCAAATGCGGGAATGCTTCTCTGGAGTCTCGGTAGCGGCGAACGCATTGCGAAAAGCGAAACCATGCCGGCAGGCAACTAACAATTGATCTAATGACGACAGAAGCGTAACCAGACGTACATTCTGTATTGTCATTCTGTACATGCCAGTCGCCATTCATTATGTAAAAGCATATTAGAAAATATAAATCAACGAACGCTGTCGCTAGACTGTTGAGCTGATCGGCCAGCCAGAAGTCGGCGAAATTGACATACGCAAATGGCGATATCACGACACGTAGCTGGAACAACGCAAAGAACCATTAATACTCAATCTTTTCGCAGAATAAACTATTGAAATGCACGAATTATACATACGATGATTTTCAATAACCACCAACGAGCTTCATGGCGAAATATCTTTAGTGGATTTATCAAAAAAATCACCATAATGCAGACAAGTACTAATGGATTTACATATGGCGGTATACTCAAACTGGCGCTATACAGAAAGCTCAGCAAGCTGAGTGTCCAAATTACTCCAAGTACAGCAGCCAATTCCATGAGATGCTGCTCGGAGAGGTGATTTCGTGGATCCAGTTCAAATATTAAAACATGATTCACACCAGAAGATCTCCAGCCGTAAACGTTAACTCCGATAAGAAACAAAAATTCGATAATAAGCAAGGGACCACGATATAGTCTAAATGCGATCTTCAGGTTTTCCCCGCCATCGTGGAAGATAGCTGAAAGTAAATAAGTTTGGGTGATACAGTTGCACAAACATGTCATGGATTATAATGTATAGGAGAAAGTTTTAGAGTCTCGAAAAATTTTCTCTTGCAACACGGATTTTTATAGCACGCGGTACTGATCGCATAAGTATCGGTTTTAATCTCATAAACTCATGCTAAAAATATGGCCAAAGTCATACGTGTTGAGAAATTTGAAATGAGCGCAAAATGGAAATATTTAGAGAATCTCAAAACTTTCTCAGAAATTTCCGTCTATGCGAATGATTTTCTAATACCTGTAAGAACAACCGCAACCGCCAGGACAATAAAACTGCCAGAAAACAAGCCGACCTTAAAGGTGGTCCATGGACTTTGCTGCTCGCCAAGTGGTGGCACCCGAAGGCGTTTCATAGCACGTTGTCGATTTCCACCTTCCAAATCGTTGATCACTGTAGTTTCAGTTTCCTGTATCATTCTGTTGATATCCTTGGAGGTATAGAAGTGCGAGTTCTCCACACACTCGACTCTCCATTTTGAACCAGCGTCAACCGACAATAACTGGAAGCAATTGTTGGTAACACGTTAGATAGAAATTAGGGCTATTGCGTGATGATACAACACAGATCATAAAGACAATTTTTAGTTTTTACTTGGTCATAGAGGGATTATGGGTTTTATGTCATGCATATAGCAGCTGGCTGTCGCACCACTGTTTTGCAATTACGAAGGAAAATATACAATGACAATGATTTTGGGACAATTGTAGCCTCTGAAAGTACACAAGCTGTGACTAGTGAGCACAAAAGTACAAGAGACGCGGTCACACCGCCTAATGCGGATACCTTATCGTGTTTCTTGAGAATCTTGCGGAATCCAGTGTGATTTAAGGTTTGATAGCTTTGAAGCAGGACAAGAGAAAGATAGAATTCCGAAAATGCGAGTTTAAGCTCTCTCAGCTTTCTGGTAGGTATGGACGGCATCGTGCTAGTTTTCTCTTTGTTTTTTCCACTTCTCTGTTGCAGTTCCAACGCAGTTTTCAACTCACTTTGCAACGCTGCATATTTGCGCGTAGCTTCTGCCAATTTTTCTGTGACAAGCAGAAAATATAATTGACACAATTTTTTACAAAAAGATAAGAAAAGATTGTGAAATAATTTTTGTGCCAAGAACATTCTCTTACCAGAGTAAAATGTATTGATTTTTTTTAATTCACGATCACAGAATGTGAAGAAGATTTCATCAAATGATGCAAAATGACGGGATATCACTTCTGGTTCTACACTCTCAGCGGATGGTGCCTCTTCCATCGCTGTATAAAGCATTGCTTTCATTTCCTGTAAATTCAAGAAAATGAAACAATTTATCAGGAACATTTGGAAGTTAGTATTTCACTACAGATTCTTTGTATCTTATGAGTGTACTTAGATAGCACAAAATATGAATATTTTTATGAAATATGAATGTTCTTAATCCAAAATACTCATGTCTAATATTCTATAAATATACATACAATATTCTATGGTAGAGATCTATATAATAGAAAAAATGTTCTTAAGACATTCTATCAAGTTTATCCATTGCGCATGTGTAATACATTCATGTGAGTGTAAAGTTTTCATAATGTTCCAAGTAGTAATATGCATTTATTATTTTAGCTTAGTAGTACACATATTTACGAAATAAAATACTGAAGTTATTTTTTTATAATTGCAAAAATAAAATCAATGATCAACTTATATATTGTAAATATTCTACACACATTTACAGAACATTTATAGTTGTATCATTTGAATATACTATGAACATATAAATACTTTCATTGCACTTATAGAATAAACAAATATTTGCAAAGAATATTCATAAAAACTTTACAGAATATTCTCCTATGTTCTTCCTGGATATTATAAAGCTCCATAAATATAGTATAAATTTGGATACCTGTATTTCAGCCATACCTCATAGCTAATATATTGCTTACGCCACTCAGGCGTTATATGAGCGGACAAGTGTTCTGCAAACTTCATGTTGCTTCATAGACTGCAGCTGAATGTGTCTGAAAGAAAGATACGAGCAATATGAGTCTCAAGTAGAAATAACAATTGTAGAAGCCACATTTGTAAATACAAGGTTACAAGGAAGCTTGTGCAAAGTACACAAAAACAACATAACAAATTGGCACAAAATCGCTTAGATACTCACCTTGGTTGAACTAAATCTTGAATAAGGTTATAAACACCACTTATATATCGCCAAACTTTGTCGGCGTCGGCTGATCAAACGTCTTATCCCTTGATGTTTGGTGTAAATATTTGATCGCAACGCAGATAAAACTATTTGGCGTTCGCTAGCTACAGATGAGTCAACTGTCAAGAATCTTCGTACGCGGCATTAATGAGAGTTCCATTAAATCTAGAGTAGTAATTTACATTATCTTCAAAAATGAATATTGAAATGTAGAAACTTTGTTATATCAGAGATCTTATTTGAAAGAAATTTAAGTAGCAAATAAGGTTACTCAATTGAACAGAAAGAAATAATATAATAATAACAGGTTAACATATGATGTTTGAAAACGAGTAAAATGACAAACGTAATATATATATATAAATATATGTATACATAAACATGGAAGAAACCTGATAGATCTTTGCGTTATCATTCCGGATTTATTAGACTATTGATTCGGCTAACTAATATTCCTGGAATTACTCCTTGGCTTCTCACCCATCATCCGTGCATATGCGAAACAATCGATATTTCCTACGGGTCGTTTCGTCATATGATTACATTTATAAGAAATCCAAAAGGAGTTGTTATGCTCCAAGTGTTTGCACATTCAATGACATTTATGGTAGAATATTTTTAGAGTAAGAACAAGCATACATATATAGAATTAATATATTATTCAAGTAACATTAATCAGTTACATATATATTTTAAAATATTAATATTATTCGAAAAGTCTGTCTAATACTTATTTTTACCATCGTATTATTTATTTAGAAATAAAAATATACCACTTAAAATAATGGCTGCATTCAGCAGAGAAAGCTGCTTTGCAACTGTTGTAAAATTTGTGAATCTGATTAGTACATGCCCTTGGATTTAATTAAAATTAAGAACATACTCCAATCAAATTCACGAATTTTACAACAATGCAAAGCAGCTTTGGGTGCGTTCAGCGAACTCACAATTGTACAATAGTTGAGCAATTCGTCAATGTAATTGGTCTAGATTTAGGGATCTAACAGTAAGAACCAATAATCGCTGATTGCTCACTGAGCGCTTTTTCCGTTGAACGCGCCCTTTCTCTGCTGAACGCAACCATTGTATCTGGATCTACTGTTAAGTCGTAATATTTGGAAATAAATATTTAACTGATTGTTGAGCAGCACTACTAAAAGTCCGACTACTTTATTGTTGAGTTATACTACGACTTGTCCTACTAAAGACGCTAGTTGTAATGAGTGTTTTCCATTTAATAACACAAGTCGACACAAGGATCATCCTATCTTAGTTACTCATTGAATATGGAACAAAGACAAAATAATGCTTATGTTATTAAATGGAAAGCACTTATGTCGACTTCTGTTATTAAATGGAAAGTACCCAATGAGTTGCACAGGTCATCATTGGTCTGTTCCTTTTAGCTGCACTGCTAAACTAGTGTTTAAGCAGGACCAATCATAGGGACTACGAATACTCGTTCTAGTATGGCTGCGTTCCGAAATTTACTGCCAGTACTGAAATTCTATAATATACGTAACATGAACTATAGATTTTCAGTACTGGCAGTGCATTTCGGAACGCAGTCATATATACTTTGGCAAGATGCACTTTTCTAGTTCCGAAGTTTCCGCTACGAGTTGCCACCAATTCTACCAAGCAAATTGAAATCGTAGTACAACTTAATAACAAATCAGGCAGATATTAAATGAGGTGAATTTGCATAAACTCTTATAAATCATCGTTGTGTAAGATTAATAATACGATCAGTCTAAGTTCATATTGTTAAGTTCATATTGTGTTTATCAAGAATCCTATTAAAGAAAAGTGAAAGCACTTTTTGTGTATTATAATAGAGAAGTATAAAATCTATGTTTACTAGTTAGGGTAAGATAAATTTTTGCTCAAGTAAAATATTTATTATTCGTATATATTTATATAGTATCAATAATATTATATTTATTTTATAGAATAAGCTAAATTTTTGTTTAAATAAACCATTAACATTGTCTGTATTTACATGATATTTTCAAAGCAAGCATACAAATGTTACGGTTCCTTCTTATGATGACATTAATGCTTTAAATATTTTTATTTCTATTATAGTATTAATTCTATAGATTATTAATTAACAAGCAATATAAAATGTATACATCTAAATAATTATTAACATATTAATGTAACAGTACACAATATGTACTTCATGCAACATTATATATTATGTAATTTCTAAATTCTTTTTTTTTTTTTGAGATTATCAAATGATAAATAGGATGGAGCATAGAGAGATATACCATATGTTTGCACTGCTAATATTGTTAATTGTTCATTGTTAATATTGATTGTCAGTTGTTAATATATTGTTAATTCTTACTATTAATAATTATTTTTTCTGCCTAATATGTGCCTATATTTTCTTTTTTACAGCTTCTTCCTATAGAGAATAAAAGTCAATAGTACAAATATTTGTTTAATATGCGTTTGCTACTATCATTATTAGTTATATTACATATCACAAGCTTTAGTATAGCATGGCGCAACTTCATGAGAGGCCGAAATAGAAATGGTAATTTAGGAGAACCAGTTTTATCATCTAAAAATTATAATCTTCCCAAAGAACAATGGTTTTCACAGCTTTTAGATCATTTTAATCCAATAGATATCCGTGTTTGGAAGCAGGTATATACTAGACACTTATATATTATATTTTTATAGATATTAAGTTTAATATATATTTTTTCAGAAGTAGATTTTCTTTATTGTTTCAAGTCAATGTTACATTTATAACTTGTTATTTTCTTACAGAGATACTTTGTTAATTCTGATTATTACAAACCAAATGGGCCCATATTTTTGATGATTGGGGCTGAAGGTGAAGTAAATCCTAAATGGCTAATAGAAGGCATGTGGATCGATTATGCCAAAGAGCTTGGTGCAATGTGTTTTCACCTGGAGCATCGTTTCTATGGAAAAAGTCATCCTACTGTGTATGTTGAATAAAAAAATTTAAATGTTAGTGAAATGAAAAATGTAGAAGTTTACATTACACTCGAAATATCCATGCAGGGATCTCAGTGTAAAGAACTTGGTGTATCTAAATTCAGAACAAGCCCTAGCAGACTTGGCATACTTTATTCAAGCTGTTAATATTGGCTACAAGTTTCCAAATGACACAAAATGGATTGTATTCGGGGGCTCATATGGTGGTTCTCTGGCTGCTTGGATGCGTGCTAAATATCCTCACTTGGTGTATGGTGCAGTATCAGCAAGTGGACCATTATTGGCATTGATTGATTTCCAAGGTATGATAAGACTAGGAGCACATAGAAAACGTAAGCAGTAAAACTTAAATAATAAGCAAATTTTCCATCCATAGTCGATAATTCTTCTTATGGTCCAAGAATAATCGATTGAGATTGGTTAATTTTCTTACTGCTTAAGTCTTACATTTTCCTGTGTATCATAGCTTTGAAAGCACAAATTTTAACAAGTGTGTTGTATAGGAGCTGTTATATGAACTGTTTTGTGTTATAGAATATTATGTTGTTGTGGAAGATGCTCTGAAGCAACATTCACAACAGTGCGTCGACGCAGTTGCAGATGCCAACATGCAGTTCCATATAATGTTGCATCACCGCAATAGTCAAAAGCAATTAACGGAAAAGTTCAGGTAAGCGAACCTGTCGGAATATAGAATATTGGCTCTAACGTGGTCTTTATCGAAATTATCTTTCATAGATTGTGTGACCCGATTGATCCTGGACATACCAAGACAACTGACATCGCCAATTTGTACGATTCATTGGCGAGCAACATTGCTAACATTGTACAGTACAACAAAGACAATCGCCAGGATTCTGGAACAGTTAACATCACTATTGATACCATATGCGATATATTAGTAGATAATAAATTAGAAAAACCGATTGATAGACTCGCTTACGTAAACAGTATGGTATTAAACGCTACCAAGGAAAAGTGTTTGGATTATAGATATAGTAACATGATTCATTTACTTCGAAATATCAGTTGGACAAGTGAGCAAATGGATGGAGGTAATCTACTCATCAAATTAATCGCTTGGGCGTTTTCATTCTAAGATTAGTTTTTTGCACATTTTGTGTTAATATAACAAATATAATAAACATTATTAAATAATAATGTTTACAGGACGTCAGTGGGTATATCAGACTTGTACAGAGTTCGGGTTCTTCCAGACTTCAACTGCGCGGCCTAAATTATTCAGTGAAATGTTCCCGGTTGACTTCTATATACAACAATGCATCGATATCTTTGGACCTAGGTTCGTCCTCACTTTTCAATTATGCTTCGACTGAATGTGATTCAATAACACAGCAGAGCTTTCTTTTTCTCTCATTATCACATTGTAATTTTCCGACATCACTCAGTATAGCTTCATTGTTTCTCTCGTGCTAAATTTATGCAAGAATCCGTCTTGCAGAAGTACTTGTGAGGCAAATCTTTTTCTAGCAAACTTCTTTTCTTTCGTAGATATAACTTGGATTTGTTGAAATCCTCCATTGCTCGGACCAACATTTTGTATGGTGCTTTGAATCTACAAGTGACGAATGTAGTATTTGCGCATGGTTCCGTGGATCCTTGGCATGTGCTGGGCATCACGCAATCCTCCAACTCACAAGCACCCGCCATCTATATCCCTGGTAAGTACAGTGTATTGTAGATATTTACTAAATACGAATATTGTACGATTTACTGAATACCTGAATATGTATATAATTTGTTGATTCACTCGAAGGCACTGCACATTGCGCGGTCTTGTATCCTTCAACGGAAAAAGATCTGCCTCAGTTAAAACAGGCTAGAATACTGATAAAGGACTTGATCAAGCAATGGCTCAAGAATTGATGTTCTCTCTTAATGTAATATCATATGTGGTAAGAATAAAAAATATATAATACGAATGTTTATACAATTAAAAATAGAATAGGTACTTAAGAAATTATTACTGTACGCGAATATATATATAAGTTACTATATATATCTCTCTCTTAGAAAAATATGCATTTTAAGAGACTGCATTTTGGAAGCTTTTTTTTTTTTTGTTATTATGCAGAATAAGTGAGGATATTAATATATGTTTATATAAATATTTTTATTTTCTAAATTTATATAATGTGAACATTAAGTCTAACGATATATGTATATGTAACGATCTATTTGAGAATGCGCCAGCATCCATTATCATGTACCATGTTTGAATGACAAAACTGCTCGTTTGACGGATCAAACAAGTTTGCCCTAAATGGCACTATCGTAATTTACCGCGATAAATAGAGTTACAAAATGCATGTACAAAGTTATCTCGCGTAAAATTATCTCAGTCAATAAATAAATGTTAACGTTGTTGCGAAAATCGTGTTACTTGCTAATTACATAATAATTTCAATGAGCCTGGTTGAGAAAAAACGTATAGGTGATAACTATACGTCTAGAGTTATGCGTTACATATCTATATTATAAGAAAATCGGTAGTAGCATACATATGATATATCGCAGGTGTAACGTTAGCGATTCACGAGGCACCGCGTGAAGTCTTCGAGTGCTCTCTTACATTTGTGTCAGACGTGCACTGCACTTAACGCAACGTCTCTTTATTCCTGAATGGGTAACATCGGCCTTTCCTTAACGATACCTATATGCAGTGTCCCGTTTGTCTGGAAACATAGTAATCCTTTTAAAGCGAGGCCAAGGTACCCATGACGGACGTAAATTTTGCCGATATCGTATGATATCCTTGGACGAATGTTCTCCAAACGTAACGTGAAACCCCGAATCTTACAGTATATAGCTTACCGTTACATTAATATCTGTTTGATCATTATTACATATTATTTCATTGCTGTTTTTGGCATGTCCTCTATGATCAGCTTCTACTGTCTTCCTCACGACGATTCACCGCCCTTGCACTTACAGACTACAGTGTACCGTAGGCTACACTTACAAGCTACAATGGTCATATATTTACAGCTCGTAACACGGACCGACGATAATATAAATAATTTACGACGTAAACAGAACGTGTAGGATTTATCTCGGCTGTTTTCCGTTCTAGATTCTCGCATGAGACGTTAGCTAGGTACAATTTGCTGGAAAATTCGCCGTGCACCCTCGTTCAAAGGTGGATCTTTCAACCCGTGGCGGTTATTGGACATTCACTATGGATTCCCTACGTCTTCCTACGACTCGTCGTTCACCACGCGATCGTAGACGATGTGACGTAGCGAATTTAACGACACAGAATTTCTCGCCCGTTCGTCTCGCCGATTTAGTATCTATGGTGGGACTGTCTCCAGTCGGGCGTCGCGCTACCGTGGTGATGATGATGGTGATGGTGGTGACGCTTCTTGTCGGAGATGCTGGCGTGCTTGCTCGACGGGTAAGCCGCGACGTCGCTTATGACCAACTCCGAGCCGTCGCGTTCGGTGTTGTTGCCACGGAAGTTCTCTCGGTATCCTGGTTCATCCAGGGTCTCCTTGCGACGGAGCGGCGGATGACCGGCCTTATGGCCGGCGGTCTCGTGCAGGTTCTCCCAGGCTTGACGGTAGTACCGATTTAGACCTCCCCGACTTTCCGAGGAGCTGCTGTCGAAGCTGGCTACGGTGTTACAATCGGGCGACGCACGGTGACGGTAATGCTTACTGCTTCTTCCACGATTTCTATGTAGAGATGGGGTTGAATACGTTAATAATTTTCTCTCAGTACCAAAATTTATCGTCTAATTACGAACAATTCTGATTGCACAGCACCAAGTATGATTGCAGCAGGCGACGAGAAGATGGGCAAGCGTTATGTGCAGTGGAGGAACGGTCGGATCAGTTCTTGCAAATATACTATAGTGTGTGAATTTTGTAAGCGTAATATTTCTATGTTTCTGTAGCTGAATGCAAGTATGAACCCGACCATTCCATTTAGCTAAATGAAAATAGGTATATATTACTATTACTCTACGACCCAAAACAATCTCCAAACTATTGCTACAACCAACGTGAAAGCAGAAAAATGGGATGAGCACTGTGTTCTACAGTACACCAAGAACTTGTATGATACGGAATGACGGATGTATAATGCCAATACCCAGCACTCAGAATTAAACAGGTGCATCAATGTGACCTTAAGAGGGATAATAACATAAGAGATGCAAGAGAACAGAGCATAATGTACATAAACCATTTTCCATCGTGGTTTCGTGCGGCGCGATACTCAGGACTTCTAGATCGTCAGTCGAAATTCGCCGCAACTGACTTGTTACCTGATTCTGTGACTGAAAATTTCCAGAACCCTTGAGTCCGCGCGTAGAAGGTGTTGGTGCGGCCGTGTGCGTGCCCTAATAACTAAGCTATTATCTAATCCGTAGGCGTGATGTGTACGTGAACGTGGAGGTGGACGTCGGAACGAACTATCGCTAAAGAAGATGCTGAAGTAGAAACCTTGCTCTCGTTTACCTTGACTAGTATCACTCGCGAAGGTGGCGCGTGGTAGTTGGTGGTACGTGATGATGGTTGATGTGGTGGGCGGTGGTTGCGTGGAGGGTTGGGGTGGTAGTGGTGGTTGCGGGCTTTATAAGGAGCGGTTCTCTCTCGTTTTCTCTCTTTATCAGCGGCGGGGGTGAGAGGGAGGGGCGGCGGCGGCGGCGGCTGTGGTGACGGTCTATAGAGAGGGATTTGAGAAGTAGCCGGCACGGTGCGCCGCCGACAGGCTGAAGGAGTAAGGGTGGTCGCTACCGCGGCGAGCCGTGAGGTCGCGGCGCCCCAGGTGCTGGTCGGGGAAGGGCAGCGCCAGTAGCGTATACCAACGCGAGGGCATTCCGGTGTCGCCCCTCCCAAGGCCACCACTACCGCCACCCCTCAGCGCACCAACCCCACCGAGCCCCCTGCGGCGCCTTCCTCTGACGCTGCCACTGCCGCTAACCACCGCAACGCAAACGGACTCAATGTTAATTATCGTCGTGGGAGGTCAGACGATCTCCGCCTGATTATCCTGACACTACGTCTTAGATCTCTCAACGTGTTTACACCAATGTTTTTCAAACACTTCTCGTTTTCATTTGCGTCTGTAACCGTCTGCAATCTCCCATCTTTACAGTAATCGTCGAGAGAGAATTAGATGATTCGCTAATAAATTTGCCATGATTCCGTGATGATGTCTTTATCACATCACCACTTGAGACAATAGCGTAGCTTGGATTATACGATTGGCATTGAAAATCATTGGTTTAGACAACGAGCCTCAAATTATCAGAATTCATCACGAAGCGACCTGACAAATTACAACGATTATGCGGCTTCTAATCGGCGGTTGTAACGTTCGCGAAGCATAATTTGAGGCTACGTCATTCGCGGCAAGTTCTTCAGGCTAAATTACAGGAAGCTTATGATGAGTGAATGAAGGGTCGAGTATACACTAGTACTAGAATACTATTATCTCCGCGCAGTTTTGCTCGCGGATGTTAGGGAACTTGCTTGTTACATCGAGAAAGATTGTTCGAAAAAGATGTACACGCGACTTCGATAAGCATGGGCGAGATCATCCTCTATGAGAGAGATACAGATTACAATGCAGCGTATTACGTATCACAAGTTAGGTAGAAGACAGACAGGTGAACGAGCGGGGTGTAGAGAATAGATTAAACAAAGTAAGCGATATAATGTACAGTCCGCTCGAATGTCGTCTATGTATATATAGAGGTGCGCTACGGTCTCAGAGAGACAGAAAAGAGGTTCGCGACGAGGACGACGATCCTCGAGCGCCAACTCGGCCTGACGCGTTGTCCTTACCTGCGTATAAGTATCACGACCGTCGTAATCACCGCTGCGAGGAACACGAAGCCGCCGAACACTCCCAGAGCGATCACAGCGCCGAGATTCAGCTTGGCTTGATGAGTGCCGCTAGGCAGCTCGGCGCTATCCACTCTGAACGGGCCGGATGGTTCCGGCACGGCTGCTCCGACTCCCGCTTGAGCATGATCGACTCCACTTCCGGATATTTCGTTGTCCTGCGGATGATCGCTGCCAGCGTCGTTGAGCACCGTTGACGGAGGTGGCGCGGGCTTGTTCAGCCCGATGCTCGGCCTCTTCGACACGGTCTCTCTTACTGTGGCCGGCTGTTCCGCCGTGTTGGGTACGTTTCTGGGTGGCAAGACGGTCGTGGTGCTGGTGGTAACCGTAGGCACGTTCGTTGTTGTTCTGATCCGTGGTGTCAGATACGGTCGAACTTTTGGAGTCGATGGACGCAATGTTGCTCGAGAGGGGACGATTACGGTTGTCCGTGGCTCTTCTAAAATGAAGAATAAATGCGCAGATAGTACAACATATTTTAGGAATATTCTTATGATATACAAGTTCTTAATTCCAGAATATTCGAATCGGATATTGTATGAATATACGTACATTTGTAAATATTCTATGCACATTCATATAATATTTATAGCTTATTGTCATTCGAATATACTATAAGTGCAATATAAAATATAAGTGCAATATATAACAGACTTTTTTTTAATATATTTATAAAATGCATAAATATTCTAATATTCTTATAAAGAATATTGAGAATATTTATGCGCTACCTGGGTATAAGTAGAGGTTTTAAACAAATAAAATAGCCAGAAATGTAGAGTAATGCTGAAGATAGACAGCCAAAATATATTGCATCAGCGTTATATTAACTCTTCTCGTTATCTTTGTTTATTATAAAATTGCATACCTATGCATGTGGGTGCGATATGATCGTACAATCCAGTAGCTAAGCAGAGTATCTGCCGGAAACCGACCAGCCGGTAGCCCTTCTCACACGTGTAAATGACTATGCTACCAACCAACAGACTCCGGTTGAAATTGGTCCTGATTGGGATATTTCCGTCTTCGTCGATTTCCTCTATATTGATGGTACTGTGCGCGACCATAGCTGGTGGATCGCAAAGTATGGGCTCGCATCGCGGCGGAGGTCCGTTCCAGCGTTCGTCGATGTCACAAGTTAGTCGGGCGCGTCCTGCATAATTGTGGATCAAATTACAAATCCTTACGTAGGAAATTTGATAATTTCATGCTTGACATTGAGAGAGACCAGAAAGAGAAAGAGAGAAATTTAGGAAAAAGAAAACATTTTTATATTTGGTATAATAATAAATTCTTTCATTTATATTAATAAAATATTTCTTAAATAAAAAATCTACATTTTCTTAAAATCTTAACTTTTCACGAAAGCAATTGTTTATTCCATTTATTAAAAGAATTTAGATTTAAGTAAATATATGTTATTACACATCGCGGATAAATATTTTTTACTTTTTAAATATTTTTTCTCTCATAGTATATAATACGCGTATTTGATATAGCCGTATTTGATAATTATTGATATAACGCGTATTTGATAATAATATGGCTTATTAATCTAAATTATGTTTCTATTATCAAAATTTAATTATATTATCTTTTACATAAATTTAATTATATTAACTTTTACATAAATTTAATCAACTTTCTATACTTTCAAAAGTTTCAACATTAATTGACGATATTATGAAAAATCGAGATGAAGTTGCGAGAATGAAGCTATCTATCTATCTGATGTTAAATAAAGAACGTTAGATAAAATTTTGACATTTTATTTCTGCGATTTTTTTTTTAATCTTCTGCACCGAGAGAAATTATGCGATAAAAAATTAACAAATGGATATTTCCGATCAAATTTCGATCAATTTTATATCCGATCAGAATATTCGATTAAATTTTATCTGATACTTTCGGTCACAATGACATTTCATTAAATAAACCAATCAAAAAATGATCAACCGATATTTCTTGATCGGAGACAAAAATTCATCGATATTTTGATCGAAAATATCTGTTTATTAATTTTTTATCGAATAATTACTCTCAGTGTGTGAATATGCTTACCGGTCATCTCGTACCCATCCTCGCAGGAGTAAAGCACTTGGCTGAAGTAAGTGACGGTATTATTGATGAGCGTATAGCCACCGTGTTTTATGCTCGCAGGATAGCCGCACTCGATATCTAGGACGAAAAGAACATCACGTTTCGACAACTCACACTCGCGAACTCGTTCAACGACCGTCACTTACTTTTGCACACCGGTGGAAAGTCGTTGTAGAAGCCGGTATCAAGACAGGTGCGGTTCGACGGTCCGATCAGATAGTTACCCGCGTTGCAACTGTACTGCACCCTCGTCCCGACTTCGTACGCGCTGCTAGGGTTCCTGGACGATCTGACCACCGTCATCGTAGAGTTCGGCGGCTGCTCGGGTCTGCCGCAAGCCCGCGGCTCTGTAAGAGCAGAGTCGTTATAATAAGAACGACGATTAAAGGAACGGAAGCGCAAACTTGAAACGATACTCACGATGTTGACAGATGAAATTCAGTCGGGCTGTGCAAGGTGTGTTGGACCAAAGCCAGCCTCTGCCGCCGTCATATCGAGCGCAGTCGTCCTCTGTGCCTTGAGGTAAGTCCCAGAACGAGACTGACACCACTTCGCCACTTTCGGCCCACCTCCACAACGTCCGGTCCTTCGGGTCCCTAACTGCGCCCATCCAGTACTGACTGGACGTGTCGCCCCTTCGTCAACGACCGAAAGAATTTTTATTTATTATTTTTCACAAAAAGACGCACGTTTTCGCCTTACCCTCGCACTTACATTTTAGATAAACATACATAATATTTCACTGAAATTTGTATGTATTTCTATCAACCCTTAAAGAATCTTTTTTAAGTAAAGCATTGACGACGAGTTTCTTTTTTTTATGTCACTTTATTTAAGCAGCTGACACCGCAGTTTTTAATACCTGTGTCGCCTCCACAGCTCCCATGAAATAAAACCTTGCAGAGCAGGATTGCTCTCGTCCACAAGAGTACCACCTCGTTGGTGGCAGAAAGCCCGCGCGTCCTGGAATATCATCTGGCGATTTTGGTAAAATATGTAGCATTTTCCGTTGTAAGTCGCCGTCGATCCTGGCGGTTGGTCTCGGTATTGAGGACATCTCTCGATCGGCAGAGCCTGTGTTTATTATTTCGTGAGATCAGTCACAGGTGACGAGAGGAAGAAACGTGAAAATACGATAGCCTTTCCGTTTCCTCAATTTCCGTCGGCGGAAAGCTTATGTTTCGCGTTAGCTGCTAAAACTTCGCGATACCTGATCGGTATAGACGAAAGCCTCGCACAAGGAGAGCTGCACAGGCTTGTCGACGGGGGCCTCCAGGTGCACCGAGACAAAAGCTCCAGGCATCGGCGGGTTGCAAGGTAAGAAGAGCGGTTGTCCTTCCTCCAATGGTCCAACGAACTGATTGCAAATGGGATTTATTCCTAGATCTGGCCGATTGTTGCCGACTCGGACGGTGATTTTGCCGGGGATATCGTCACCTGCGAAAGGATTGAGCAATTATTCATCGACTGATTCGAAATATTTGGGGCATCCAGATAGGCCTTCACAATTGCCACGATGTGAGACAATCGATTTTCACTTCGTCGCGTTCTACATGATAAATTTAAATCTATACAATAACCACTCACAAAAAATATAATTTTTACATATTGACTAATATTACGTACACTTGTTTATCTTGTTTATCTGATTATACACACATACTGATCCGTTAAAATTTGCTGGCATCTCCGGCCATAACATTCTTGTTTCAAGCATGCAAATTCTCGAAGAGATTTATGATCCGAAACATACCACAGAGTCGGGTCAATGCAATTTTAGCAGGGAAAAATCAGGACATTTTTCCCATCACACGATAGCCGTCGTTGCAAGTCAACCAAGAGATCACGTTCATAAAATCAACATGCGGGTAATTAACGGTACACATTTACGACACTGAATGTTAGTTTCATCTGTGTTCATGTGTCAATGAGTCACGATAATTGCATATGTGCGGCGGCTAAAATAACCGGCTAAAATACAAATCAAGACTCCTATTTATACGGGATAGCTTTCAAACGGTACAGCTCGTTGTACGCAACGCACGTAACGCAGTTTTAATTTCGCCGCATTTGTGCCACATCTTCATTCTTCCCGAGACATCTGCACGGCAGCCGGTTCTTAATCTTGTAGCCGATGCTACAAAGAAGGAGAGAACCTTATAGTAAACATTATTCACATGCAATATTTTAAACAGTTTGTAAAACAGTGAATATAAATAAAATTGTGAAATGGTTCTTTTAGAATAGTTTATACTGTCAAGGAAGTTCTGTAATAAGCGAAATAATAATCAGATCTCCATTTTTACTTACAATAAACAAAGATAAAAAATAAAATAAATTTTATAAAAGATTTGTCTGCATATTACTGTTATATATTCTATATATTTTTTACTGATAATTTTATGATTACTTGATGAGCTCAGCATACTTATCTCTCGCGACTTATCGCGTTTATCCCTTAATTTTCCGCTTTATTATAAATGTGATAATCACGCGTCTGGACAGTAAAAGCGCCAACAAGGCATACCTCCAATACAATTTTACCACGGAGCACATCGTATAATCAAATTTCGCGCGAGTAACTTTCTAACAAGATCGCCGCGAGGGTATTAAATGGTCGCTATCAATCGCGCCACAACTTTTACTTTAATTGATATTCCACTTCTCTCCCGCGCCGGCGATGGTTCACGTGAAGAGACCAAAATGATCTACACGACGTAGAAAGCCCAATCCAATCGATATCGTAACGATATCGTCCGTCGTTTACACAGTCATTCGGCCTAATTAGGTCTCAAGCCGCGCTCCGTTGACGTACTCGGGTTAACGTAAATCGAGGACCACGGCCGGCGCGAGGGGCTTTCACTTGCGGTTTAGTTTAGAGGGTACACAACAAGGCGCGTTCCCGCGCGCACGCGCGCTGGCCGATTACGAGCGTAGTATCTGGACAGATAAAATCATCTCCGGCAATCCGGCAAGCGCTACATCTTCTGACCCAGAAAGTATCCCGGCTGTGACGGAGCCGAGCGAACAAGACGGGACGGCCGCTCGTAGCTGCAAGCCGCAATTACATGCTTTCCACGTTTTGTCCCCGCGTCGCGTCTGTGCTCGCGTCGACGACGGTGCATGTCGTCCAGTAAAATTGCCCGGTATACGTGCATACACACACGCACGTATACGGCCGCGGTACTTTCTTATTGCACGCGTGAGCAGCTATTCTCGCCTCTAATGAGTGAGCGGACATGCATCGCGTGCAGTGAAGAGAGGAGCGGCGGCGCCAGATAAGGGAGAAACTCTCTTGGCGTTGGAGGGAGGATTTAGACTGACGCACGTGTGGAATCACACGAATTCAGGCGAATCGATTCGCAAAAGCTGCCTCCCGATATTCACTGCTGCTATTAATGGTGCGCGCCATGTGAATGATAGGTTTTTTATATTTTAGAGGAAAAAAGTTCTATTGATTGACTCGACGTGTGACCAGTAAACGCGTTTTGATTCGAAGGAAACAGAATTTCTGGTTCTTAATCTTGTAGCCGATATTACAAAGAAGGAGAGAATCTTATAGTAAACATTATTCACATGCAATATTTTAAACAGTTTGTAAAACAGTGAATATAAACAAAATTGTGAAATGGTTCTTTTAGAACAGTTTAAGGAAGCTCTGTAATAAGCGAAATGATAATCAGATCTCCATTTTTATTCACAACAAACAAAGATAAAAAATAAAATGAATTTTATAAAGGATTTGTCTGCATATTACTGTTATATATTCTATATATTTTTCTTTGGAACAGTAAAAGAACTGTGTGACAAAAAGAAAATAATTAATAGATTAGGACGCGAACACACAACCTATCGTATCGTAGCATTTCCGTTAATATCGAATATTAATACATATTTTACTGCAACGATATTACAGCTTAACACGCGTATCATCTTCGGATAGCATTCTTCTATACCAATACTACATTCTTGTAAAAGTTCAGCAAAATTGGTGACCAGAAGGGTCCGAGCACCCCTTATAACAAGTTGTAACTTCGAGATCCCGAAATGTGGGACATCTAGCCCCGGTCTCCCTTGCGTGTAATCGTAGTTGGTTTAATCTCATTTCATTTAACCATGTCTAGTCATTGCGGCGTTTTCACGATTATACCGCCGAAATTGAACGGTCCGAATGCTCTTTCGTCGCTCAAGCGTAACGTGAAAGCCGTTCTTTCGCCCGCGGTGATTATGATACGCGGTCCGTTCAATTACGAGCGACTGCGCGCGGCATGGGAATTATCGTCGTAAGAATTATCGTCACGTATCTCGTCGGTGCTGGGCCGTGACTAAACAGCTGCTTAGGATGGGCCGCATTACGCCGGGGCTTATTGTTCACTCCGCTTGGCGCGGCGCGACTGCTTCGCGGGCGCGCGCGTTTATCCAACGAGCACAAAGGCAGATCGTGTCAATTATCGCGTTTGAATAATTCATCCGGCGGATCCATAGATCGCCGCTGGATTATGCAGAGTGGAATCCATGCGCAAAGCACGCCGCGGAAGTCGTTAACGATCAATCGCACGATTACGAGAGCGCGACTCGCGATTGAGACGGTATCGCCACCCTTTCATCGTGCATCAAGACGGGTATTATAAAACTAGGAATGATTCGAAATCTAACCTTTAAGTCGAAACTTAAATCCAAAACTTTGTGAGGCTTCGAAACTCTCGAAACTTGAAACTATCCGAACCTGAAATGCTATTTAAAAAAAAGAGAGGATATTTGTAAAACGGACTCCTGATTGACGATTAATTGCAACGAATTCAATGAAAAATTGTTCAATGATGATTGATATGAGCGAAAATCAGAGATCATTCAATTAATAATTTTGCGAACACAGACAGTATCACTGCACTCAAAGCGTGTGGAAGCTGTTAATTTCATCGTTAAGTTCATTTTGAAAATTGAATTTGGCGTAACGTACAATGAATTTGTTTATTGCAGATTTTGCAATTAAATTTTTCTCCCTCTAGTCAAGGTCAGTGAGGAATAGGACGAAGTAGTAAAGTGGGCAGTTCAGTGTTTTCACTGACAATCAGTCAGTGAATATTCACTGATTGTCGTTGACATAATCCTTTTGCTGATTCACTCAGAAACATTTTCATTAACAACATTCACTTTAAAAGAATAGATGTAATTTTGAGATCTACGACACAAACTTGGTGGAAATGCCTCTTACTCGAGGCAGGAAGGGAAAAAGGAAGGAAGATACATTTTCCCCGGCGCTCTCGCTTGTCTTCCCGGCGCGCTCGCCAAGTAACAGCGCGTCTAGCTACCGACAATGCCATTATTATTAGTCGTTTAACGGTGAAAGTCTCCTCGAGTTCGGCTAGACGCTCGTTACGGTGTTACGGACGGAGCGAATGAACTTTCGAAACGATAACGTGCGTTTTCGCGCTCCGGAACGGGCACTTGCATTAGCTCGGCGGCGCTGAGATGGAATCGGTACTCCCTAAGCGCTTGGCATTATTAATTCGCGAGATATTCGTGCGCGATCAGATTGAAAAGCGACTTCTTCCTACGTAGCCCCCGCGGAAGATGCGGTTTTGCGAACAACCATCGATCTCTTCTCGATCTTTCAGCTCGTCCGGTGTAGGAGCGCGCGCATTTAAAAGTAGAATGGTCGAAAGTAGCATATCTGAAAGTAAAAATGGAGCGTCTGAAAGCCTAACAGAAGAATCACACAGCGGTTATCTTTTTCATTAAAGCAGCGCTTCGTTTCTAAAGCGAGGAGGATTATTAGCGACCGAGGAATTATTCAGTAGTAACTTCAATTTCAGGTGAAGAAGCGCCGACATTTCTCCTCAGGCATATTTCTTGATCAACGTAATAACAATACGAAGAAACCGATGAAAGTACACCTCAAAAGAAGTGCTCGTAAAATGAAATGCCTTCTGCGCCGGCATAAAATATAATTCTTCAAGCATAACCATAGTTGGTATAATAAGTATGGTCTACGATATATTACACTCATAAATATGTTTTATTATATTTTTTCGTATTCGTAAATCCAATGCACCAACTTTTCCTACGCGGATCCGCGCTTGAAAGTAGGAATAGTTTGGAGATTCAAGTATAAATAAGTATAAATTATAATATCTTATGTCTGCGTATGTAGATAACCTAAGCTATGTATGAGATATCATCTGTGTAGAGATAATATATAATTTATGGTTACTTTTTAAAAAATATGGCTTGCTCAACAATTAAGAAAATTGTCTACTTTTATTTAACTTATAATCTTGATGCAAATTTGCGAATGTTGTTTCCTAAACAAGTTGGAGTTCACAGGATTCTCTGCACGGAGAGAATATTATAGTTTTTTTTTTCATATCAATTCTTTTCAATTTTACTATGTTTTCAATAGTCCAGGAGTAGATTATCAGTAAAATCTGTCTTGC